GACCCGGAGATCACGACCTGAGCCGAAATCAAGAGTCAGATGCTCCATCGAGCCACCCAGGAGCCCCAAGTACCCCATTATTTAAAAAAGAAAAACCTTCAACAGTTGAAACCAGATACCTCCTTTTAGGCATAACTGGAGGAAGATCTTGGCCTGGGCCCTTTCCCACCACCCCGTTTCTCAGCACATATAAAGGAAGACCAGGGGAGGAGCACCTGGGGGGCTCAGTTGTTAAGCATCCGCCTTCGGCTCAGGTCATGATCTCAGGGTCCTGGGATCGAGTCCCGCATCAGGCTCCCTGCTCAGCGGGGAGTCTGCTTCTCTCTCTCCCACTCCCCCTGCTTATGCTCTCTCACTTGCTGTCTCTCCAATAAATAAATTAAATCTTTAAAAAAAGAAAGAAAGAAAAACCAGGAGAGGGAGCGTCAGGAGTCCTTCCGTATACACTATAACCTCTGTGGCGGGAGGGTGTCCCCTCCTTTCTTTAGCCCCAACTCCAAAGCCAACTGGGTGGGGAGGAAGACACTCGCCAGATTTAGAGGTGCCTGTAATGAGGGGAGACAGGTGTCTCCTGTCCTACCTGAATCCAGCTGTGCTGCAGGAAACTGCAGGCCCCCAGGTAAGGAATCCCCGAGTGAAATGGACAGGTCATGCCCTAGGGTTGGGGGCTTGTGAATGCTACATGGTATCCACTGCTCATATGGAAATTTCTACAGGAGGTGGGCTGGAACAGCGTGAGAAAGGACTGTGGTACCGATGCCCAGGTCCAGAGAACCCTGGCGGTCACCAGCATACCACAGAAAAGGTAACAACGGCTGCATCGCGAGTGTGAGGATCCTCCATCCCAAAAGAGAACGCGGGCCTGACCACGGACAGAGCCGGTGGAAGACAGAGCTCCTCAGTGACTGGGGGCCCCTGAAGAAACACACACCGTCCGCGCAGAGGTACCGTGTCAACGGCAGCCACCCGCAGCCAACGGGACCAGATGACACCGGGAGCAGGGTCAGGTCCACCCCGACAGCCAGCCAGCCTCAGCTTCCCTCACTCCCAAGGACTGAGACCCCGAGGAAGCAGGAGGCAGCCCCGTCCCTACACATCACCCCACCTCAAGGTACCGGGACAGAAACAAAAGCCAGAGCAGGTCAGGCCCTCCCCACAAGCGTCCCCTCCCCCAGCGTCTGGCCTGTGTGACGGGCCGGGACCCGGAGCGGGTATGGACTGGACATCGCAGCTTTAAACTGGACACACCAAGTTTAATAACGGAATGTAACCAGAGAGTGATGAGATCTGTTTAAGAGGCCAGTAAGGGGTCAAGCCTTCAGCAGGGAAGGAAGAGCTGGTGGAGCACGGTTAAAAGCAGTGATTAGGAAAAATAAAACTATCTGTACCTCAGCTGAGTCCCCACCCCCCTTCCATGTTTTACCTAAATTAGATCCAGAAAATTAACTGATAATATTACAGAAATCTCTGTAGAATTAGGGCCTTTAGTCATAGAGTTCAAAACCTGTCAGATCAAACCGGTTCATTTTACAAAATTAGAACTGAGGCTCCCCTCAAGTTTAAGTGGCACGTTGGGACAAGAATTCAGATCTCAACCCCCAGTTATACTCTCTTCTCCCCACGGGGCATCACCTCCAGCAGAGCGACAGGACGAGAGGGGGGCTCTCTCGGGAGGGTTAGTGAAGGAGAGACTGGAGGCGAGAGGCCTGGCTGGGCGGACGAGCAGTAACTAAGGCCAGTCAGGGCCGTCAGACAGCCCGCTGGGCCTGAGTGCCTACAGCAGCCTGAGACAGGGCAATGCGACAGCCGGTGACCCAACCCATGGCGCCACAGCCGTCCCCGCGTGAAGCTGCAGAGATTGAGACACTGCACCTTATCACGTTGTCTGATGTCAACAGCACGACGTGGGGGTCCAGCAGCTCACTGGGGTACCAAGCGGCATGCTTCAGAGTCAGAGACGTAGAACTGGTGAAAAATCTCTCAGCAACGGGAGTCGTACTACAATAAAGACAACAGTTTTTCCAAAACATTCTGTAGAATGTGGACCAAAGATCTTCTACAGGAAAATCTGTTTTAACACTCTTTGCTCTTCTTTCCTTCATTTCTCTCTCAAATCTTGCTGAGAAGAGCAGTCAAAGCACCTGTTCAGTCAGTACAAGTGAGGATCAAAACAACCATTTTCTAAATCACAGTGTATTTTCGACCATACTTTTACAAGTGACTTGAGATACGCTAACTGATTTGATCCCTTTACTGGCCTGGTGAGAGAACTACAGGGTAAACACGATTGATCCAACTGTGGAAACGGAGAGACAGATTTTAGCAAGGGAACATTTTCAGGGAACTACGCTGGGGAGCTAAAGGTGGTTTCTATCTCACACTCTTTTCAACAGATCTTTCAGACTCTCCCATCTGCGGATAGTTGAAAAAGATACAAAAATTAAACTTAGTTAAACTTAAACCCATGACTCATACATAGTAACTGCTTCTCAAAAGTTATCTTATTTCTGCCCACATGAAGGAGCGGAACTCTGGTGGGACAGCAGTGGTCAGCCAGGCAGAAGAAATGCAGGTCGCGCAGACATGACAGCAGGAAGCCCAGAGCATGCGGTGTTGGGTCAGCAGCACAGAAAATGCAGCTTACGGACCACCACCACGCTTGAACGACTGTCCGCACTACAGGCTGGAACAAACTAGACAAACGATAAATGGAAATACAACTTACCTACAGTTCACTGTTGATTTTCCACCTTCGAATTCAGAATTCTTCCCCCATCTTTTAGGTAGTTCTAATACTGTAAGTCCTCTTACCCCTGTAAGGGCTATATGATGCTGTGTTGGACTTAACAGGACTTCAGAGATTTCAAACAGGGGCGGATTTATGCACAGCAATCTCTGGGGAATAAAGCAAACTGGTTAAAACAGCTCATTTCACAGTAAATACGTATGCAAGGTACCTGAAAGCACAACCGTCATGGTACAGTTTTCTTTTCTTTTCAAGATTTTCTTTATTTACTTGACAGAGAGAGAGCGAGCATGAGCAGGGGGAGTGGCAGAGGGAGAGGGAGAAGCAGGCTCCCCGCTGAGCAGGGAGCCCGACGTAGGGCTCGATCCCAGGACCCCGGGACCACGCCCTGAGCCGAAGGCCGACGCCCCCCTGCCTGAGCCCTGGCGCCCGTCAGGACGTATGGTTTAGTACCAGCAACCGAGGCAGGTGCTGCTCTCCCCACTGGGAACTGCAGAGCAATGAAGCATTCTGGGTAAGTGCTAACACCCCGGCTAAGAACTGATGAGAAACTTTTTAACCGCTGAGATTAGAACGTAACATAGAATGCACCAGATTTCCCCACCTTGAAAAATAAACTCTACACATAATTTCTCTTTTTGTGACCGAACTCCAGCCTGCCCCTGACAGTCTCTACACCCCATCAGGTCAGCCTGTGTCCGCGAAGCCACCACGCTCTGCCAGCCTGTGTGTGTCTCGACGGCTCTTCCTTCTCCTTTTGTGGCTGGCTGTCACGGTCCAGGAGACCTCCAGAGACATTCCCCTGATCTCCCGGCCAGGGGTACGTGCGTCTTCTCTGTGCTCTGGAAAACGGTCATAGTTCTTGTCACCCTGCATTCGAGTCATCCTTTCAGCTGACCACCCCGCACAGCTGGCTGTGAATTCCTGAGAGCTGTGTCCTGCCTCACTTACCCTCGGACCAGCGCACCGCACAGTGCTGTCTCTAACCTGTTTCAGGGAAGCGAGAAATGAACTCAGCAGCGTTCATAAATGACAGCTGCTGTGCTATATCAGAAACAGTCCAAGGGGACAGAGAACAGCTTCAAGAGCTCCTGCAGCTGGTAAAACACTGTTGGACCCACGCGGCATTTTCCGGGCTCCTGATACGCCGCTCGTCTCAGCGGCACCAGCCCTCACAACAACGCACTTCTTCCGCCCGGCACGTTCTGCTTCTCTCCTGCCCACCTCACATTGCCATTTTCTGTCCTTTCTACTTTCACTCATAAACCAGGAGACGGCCAACGTATCACTTACCCTCCCGTAAAAGGAGAATCACCCTCAGCCTCTACCGCTGTAACAAGACCGCTCTGCACACAGTGAGATTTCCACCGCTCGTGACTGAGGTCTGCAAGCCTGTCCCACTGCTGTGGTGGAGCGGCCCCTCGCCCATTCCAACCGATTCCCACCCAGTGCTCGTTAGGAAGCAGATGGGCCCCGGCCCTACCTGGTACTGGGACAGGGAGGGCTCCTCGCCTGCGCCGCCGAGGCCCCGCAGGCGGACCACCAGGAACGAGCTGCCGTCGCCGTCCCACAGGAAGAGCTCTCCGCCCAGGCCCAAGACCAGGTTCCTCGTCAGCGGCGGCGACGAAGACGCCGGCTTCTCAGCTTCGGCCGGGCTCTGGTTCTTCAGCCCCTCGCGGAGCCGCAGGAACACGACGTGGTTGGGAAGCCAGGACTGCCACGGCTCCCCGTCGCCCGCGGGGCTTTCGGCGGCCGCCATCTTGACCCCACTGCGCGCGTCGCCCCAGTGACTCCGCGCGCCGCTGAGCGCAGCCAATCCGCGGCCGGCCGGCCGCGTTCCGGCCAATCAGCGAGCGGGCAGCCCGGAAGCACACGGGTCGCGGGGGCGGCCCGGCGGAGGGGCGGCCCGGCCGTCAGGCGGGGGTACCGCCTCGGGAAGGCCAGCCTCCCGGGGGACAGCCTGAGACCCGCGTCTGTGCTGCTTGGGCACCTCCGCCTGGCTAAGCCTAGACGTCCGAAAGCTTCCCTCAAGACTCACCTCCCTTAGTCCGGGTTGGGTTGACCTCACAAATGCCACTACGGCCCCGCATCCTCGGGGTCGCCCCCGTCTGTCTCCGTGCGGGGCCGGCCGGTGGGACGGCACCTCCCAGAACGCCCCGCGGATGGGCGCGGGGAGCGCCCGGAAACTACAACTCCCAGGGTTCTGCGCGCCCAGGGGGCGGGGCTTCCTGGCGGCGACGCCCGCCGAGAGGAGATGGCCGAGGCGCCGGGCCCCGGGCGCCTCTCGCTGTACAAAGCGGTGGGCTCGGCGCCGTGGAAAGAGGTTTTCCGGCAGGTGGGCGTGGGCTTTGGGAAGCCTCGGCTGGGCCGGCCCGGGCAGCCGCCGTCCCGCGCGCCGGGCGAGGCAGGTTGGGGGAGCGCCGGGCGGCGGCGGCAGCGGCCCCGGAGCGGGACCGGACCGGGCTGGGCTGGACCCGGTCGCCGCCGGAGTTTCTGGGCCCTGCGTGCGGGGTCGTGGGAGCCGGCCCAGTCCCAGCACGCCGCGGGTGCACCTGTGCGCTCCCACCACCACCCGCTGGTGTCGGGGTCGGGGGGTCGGGGGACGCTCGGCTCACTTCCCTCCTGCGAGCGGGAAGTTCTGCTCCAGACGGGAGATTTTGTCTAGTTCGAACCGAGTCCCAGCGGCAGCGCGCGCCTGCGTCCCTTCTGACCTGTTGTGACATCAGCGTGGTCCCCGTGAGACGGCCCACCTTCCCAGGAGTCCCTGAAGGGGCGGGCGTGTGCCCCCCCCCCATCGAAGAGTCGGATGCTGGGAATGACTGCCGACCGCGGGGGCTTCCCAACCTGGGCTGTTGACATCCCGAGCCCGACGGGCCTTCGGTGTTGGGGGCGCTGTTCCCTGCATCGTAGAAGGTTTTAGCAGCATCCCGGGCCTCTACCCACTAGATGCCAGTAGTCCTAAAACTAAAGTGACAGCAGGAGGGTCTCCAGGCATTGCCCCGAGCCCCGTGAGGGATGAAATCGCCCCAGGCTGAGAAACCTTGTACAGGACAGCGGCTCCGGTAGCCATATCCAAAGCAGCAGGAACGTGGGTGTAACCTGAACGTCCTGTCATAGCGCAGCACATGCTGAGCTGTTATTACCCAACCATGAAGGACGCTGCCCTTGATCAAGGTTGGCTATAAAATATGGTGATCTGGGGGCACCTGGGTGGCTCAGTCAGTTGGGCGACGGACTCTTCTTGGTTTCAGCTCAGGTCATGATCTCAGGATGGTGAAATCGAGTCCCCCCCATCGTGCTCATGCTCAGCTCTGAATCTACTTGAGATTCTTTCCCTGTCCTTCCCCCTCTCCCTCTGCTCCTCCCCCAGCTCACGCTCTTTCCGTCTCTCTCTCTCTTCTTAAAATAAAATAAAATCTGAATGTGGTGATCAGAATACATAAACAAAGCATGATAATTTCACCTGTCTGTGGATAAGGACTGGACAGAAATATGCAAAAATAATAGTAATTAGGGCTGTAGTTGAAATTTTGTGTCTATAAATTTCTGTTAATGATTTAGCATCTAGTCTAAGAAAAAAAAAATTTTTTTTAGGGAAAGAGAGAACATGAGTCTGGGGCGGGGAGGCAGGGCAGAGGGAGAGGGAGAAGCAGGCTTCCCGCTGAGCAGGGAGCCCAACTTGGGACTTGATCCCAGGACCCCGAGATCATGACCTGAGCCAAAGGCCGACGCTTAACGACTGAGCCACCCAGGCGCCCCTAAGAATCTGTTTTGTTTGTTCGTTTGTTTGTTTACTGGACTCACTCCCTGTCTTTCTCCTTCCAAGGGATGCCTGGAGAGAATGAGAAACAGCCGGGACAGGCTCCTGAACAGATACCGCCAGGCTGGAGGCAATATGCCAAGGAGATCTCAGAACACCCTTCTGGTGCAGGAGGTGATGGAAGAAGAGTGGAGTGCTTTGCAGTCTGTGGACAGCTGTCCAGAGGTCTTGACCCAGGTCAGGCTGGGATATGTGTTTCCGGGGAAGCTCTACAGCACCAAGAGTGCCCTGTGCCCCCAAGTCCTCTGAACCCATCCAGCTTCCACCCTCCAGCCCCCAGTCAGGATTCCAACTGCCTTGAACCCAGGCAATTCCATCTTTAAGGTTAGACTCTTCTAGGTTCATGGTTCATAAATACCAGACTCTACCAATCTGCTGCATCATCGCATCTGTGAAACTAAAAAAAAAGATGTTTCACCCCTGGGCTCCCCTGCTGGAAATGTTGATTCAGCAGGCATGGGCTAGCAATCTCTCTCTTGAAGAGGGAGTCCAGGAGCTCTCTGATTCTCATCTTGGCCAGAGTCGGGGGCTGGGTGTAGACCGGAAACCATTTACCCTGCACGAGGAAGAGCCCTGGCTTGGATGTCAGTACTTCCGGAATTCTGACACCGGTTGTGCTTTCAACCCTTACCTGTTCTGTGCCTCCGAGCTTCGCTTTCACGTTTGTACGAGGAAGAAGAGAGCGTGGTCAGCACGTTGATATAAGAGAAGCTTGGCAAACTGCTCTGAAAACATCAGGGCTGTCTGTAGTCACGATGCGTTATCAGGTGCCTCCTGTGTGTCCCAGCACAGGCCAGACGTCTGGGTTACATGGTCCTATTTAGTGCTCACAAGGGCCCATTCAGGTCTCTTCCCACTTGGCAGAGGCCTGAGTTTACGGGGTTAGGAACTCCCCCCAGCAGCTCCGAGCTTTGGCAGAACAAGTACTTAGCCGCTGCCCTCTAACCTCTCCCCCAAATTTGGGGCCCTTATTTTGTTACTGGGTGGTTTAATCATGTGTTGATGACTTCTCAGGGGGATCCCGTTAGCACGTCGTCAGCATATCCTAGAGAAGGGATCTCAGATCTCAGGACAGATCTCGGTTAAAGTGGAGTTCGTCGGGCCAGCCTCCCAAGCCTCAGTCACTGTGGGACTTGCTGACTGATCAGAACTGCACTTTCTCTTGCAGTTGGAGGAGCTGTTGGACGTGGCTGAGCTCGAGGAAATCCAGCAGGAGATGGCTGACCAAGGTGATCTCTGGGAGTGTCCTTCCACCTGCACCTTAGCTACTGGAGCGCTGAGCGCTTTCCAAAGCAGAATTCCTTCTTAACTGCCCCCGCTCTATGCCTCGCTCCAGGCGAGTGTCAGAAGTTCCTGCTTTTACTCTGGAGTCTTGGCTCTTCCCGAGAGTCTGTTGTGACTGGGCCTGGTGCTCGGACTCTGCGTTCTGTGCGATCACTTTCTCCTGCTGACTAAGCTGACTTGAGAGAGGAGAGGGGTGCGGGCAGCTCAGCGAGCGGTGGGGCCGAGAAGCCACCTCCGTGTGGCGAGTCCAGGTCCTGGGTTTATTCTTTTCTCTGGTTCCTCTCCATCAGTAGCTGAATAGCAGTCCTGTCACCGTACGGGACGCAGTCGAGATCAGGGCGCTCATGTCACCTACTTTGATTGCCTTCCCTCGCAGCCCTGCTGCCTCCCGGGGCGCTCGTAGTGCCCACCCTCTGGGGCATCACTAGGGCCACGGGGTGCGGCCTAGCGCCTGTGTCACTGAGCCCTGTTGGGCTCTGGCTTTGTTGTTATTTCCTGTAAGAGACATCATAGACCTGCCCTCTAAGTTTGTAGGCTTACGTAGCGTGTGGACAAGAGCCAGAGCCTCGCCAGTAAGTGGCGGCTGCCCCAGGAGGGTGCGGGAAGACAGACCGTCAGCCCGACTGCGAAGATGCACTTCTCGGCCGGGTGGTAAATGTTAAGGCTTTGTGATCCATACGGTCTCTGGGGCAGCGATTCGGTCCTGCTCTGGTGTAAAACGGCTGTACTGTAAAACGGCCGTATGCCTCATGGGCACAGCCGTGTTCCAGTACGACTTGACTTAGAAGATCGCCCGTGGGCTGGTCGGGCTGTGGTTGGCTGGCCCTGGCGTGTAGACTGGGAGCTCATGCTTTTCTGCGTGTGTCCATCCTTCCTGCCACATCCTCGGCGTGGTTCCGTGCTCGCTGTGTGAAGGAACACAGATTGTGAACAACACAGACTGAGCACATGGACGTCGGGGAACAGATCACTTTAAACTCAGCACCTAGTGCCCAGTCAGGGTCTTCTCTCTGCTCTGCGCCCGTCGCCTTGGCCGGGGGGTGGGGGTGAACTCTGTGTCCTCAGCCCTTAGCCCCAGCGCTGCTCACGCAGGACAGGCAGGAGGGGAGGGAGCCAACGAGACGAAGCCTGGCAGAGCAGTAAACATCTTGTGATGGGAAGCGGGATTCTGCCTGGATTCTTCTCTGGTGTGGGTGAGGCTTCATGTGCAGGACAGGCGGCCGGGCCGGGGAGGGAGGCGGGGAGCTCGCTGGAGCTGCTGTTTGCCCCGCAGAGCGGTGCATCCTCAGGGAGTATGAGAAGAGCCTGCAGTTCGATGAGAAGTGTCTCAGCGTCATGCTGGCCGAGTGGGAGGCAAACCCCCTCATCTGTCCTGTGTGCACAAAGTAAGAGATTCCAAACCCCTTGCGGCATGACGGGTGGGTGGCATGTCCCCCCGGAAGCTGGTTGTCCGGAAAGGTCTGGGGGTGCCGGGGTGCCGGCCCTGGCGTGCTGTGATCCCAGCTCTGCTTCCAGGTCCAACGTGAGTGTGTCCGGCGGTGTGGTCGCGTGTCCGTGTGGCCTGTACCTCCCCTCGCACGTGAGTGTCCCTTTCCCACGTGTGTCTGCTTGCTGGAGGCCCCTTCGCTGGTGCCGCCGGATGTGGTGGTGCACGTTTGCTCCCAGCCGCTCGGCCGGCTCACCCGGGTAGCTGCAAAGCGGCGCACGCGCACTGAGACCTTGACAGCCGGAAACACTCGTACCTGGCCTTCGCACAAAGTTCCCACGTGCGAAGACACAACGAGTGGCCCTAAGTGGCGTGATGGCGGCTGAAAGTTTGCGGCGGCGAATGGTGACACCGAGCGTTTCACAGTCGCTCCCAGCGACTGGTGCTCCAGGTCCTGGTTCAGGCGGGGCCGCGTTCCCGGCTCGCGGCTTGGAGGGGCGCACAGAGCCTGGTGCAGACTCAGGGTTTGCCCTCTCTGTGTAGCTCAACGGCTTTTTTTTTAAAGCAATTCCCGTTTGAGTATTTCCTGAACATTGCATTCCTTATCGTTGAAAAAGAGGAAAGCCTTGTTCTCATTCTCCGTCGGGTTACCGACGTGTATGACAGCGTGGTTCAGGTAGTGCAGGCGGCCCTGGGCCCGGGGAGCCGGCGGCCCCGTGCCCTCCTGGTGCGGCTCACGTGGGAGCGGGGGGCCACCGAAGTCAAGGGTTAGCGCGGTCAGGAGCCCGCGCGCGGTCGGAGGCGCATGGAGCCCGGCCATCCCAGCGAGCCAGCCTTGGGGAATCGGGATCTTCAAGCTGTTGACTCGGAGGTGACCGGGGTCAGGCTGTAGCTTAACTTTATTTGCTAGTCTCCAGAGTTGACGGTGCAAAAGCTTCGAGCCTGTTTGGAGGACAGCGTGAGTGAGCACAGCGCACACTGCCCGCACACGCCTGCGTTCTCGGTCGCGGCCGGGCCCGAAGAAACGCCCAGTCTTCTCATGAGCTGCGTGGTAAGCCTCCTGCGGGACCCAGTGGCGGAGCCGCCAGTGGTTGGTGGTGTTCCCACCCGGCAGAAGTCATACAAATGGGTAGATAGTTACAAATGCAGCTTAGTCTTGTGTAGGAGAGTGGAGGTAATGTGTCACTTACACTAGGAGGTCCACGGTCACCCGGAGGGCCTCCTGTTTCACTCAGAGGACTCCAGGACGGCCGGGGCGGCAGGGTGCGGCCTTACCGTCGCTAACGCACAGCCGTGAGGACATGCACGAGCAGTCTGGGTGGTCCTGGGATGATGGAGTGTGCTAGACTGCCAGAAAGCCAGGGGCGTCCTCCGTGCGAGTGGTCAGGGGCTCCTCAGCATGGTGGCGCGTCTGAGCGAGACCGCTTTGTGCACCGACGCCCACCGATCGGGAGGGGAGACCCAGGAATGCGTGCTGGCCCGAGGGGCTGCGAGTTTGGGTTCTGCCTGCAGCGGGCGTGCCCATCAGTCTCGGGTTCAGCTGCAGGAGCCTCAGTCACCTCGCTGCGAGGCCGTGAAAGCCACCGGCCACCTGTGTGCTGAGGGGAGGGTGTTTGGAGCCCATGCCTGGGACCTGATCTGAGCCCCAGACGTACACGCTGCAGCATGGGGGTCCCGAGGGCAGACACCCCACTGGAGCTGCCTCGTGTCCCTGCTGATGAGATTTGAATTGTAGACGGAGATGGTGTTCGTGACTGGAACTCTCTGTTTAAATCCAGGCTTGTGATACGTGGGCTGTGATCCTCTAGAGTGGCCTCCACTTGTTCTCCTGAGGACAGGACTCGCTCCGCCTGAGACAGGCCCTTGTAAATACCAGCCTTTAATTTATAACTTATTTTGTATTAAAATTTTCAAACTGTCTGCTTTTGGTGTGTTGTGATGCAGGCTGCAGGGTGACGAATAGAAAGGACAAAGCACCTTGGAAGAGAGAAACCAATTTTATTGTCCATCATTATGTTATACAAAAATCTCGGAGCAAGAAAGTCATAGAGAAGCAATAAAAGAGTAAATAAGAGGGCAACAGAAATAATTTAAATCTGGATTATTCTCCATGATATCAGGAAGGAAACCACCCCGAAGCACGTGTGCGTCTGGCTTCAGAGCAGGCTGGTTCCCCGGCGAAGCCCGGCGTCTGGTCTGCTCTACTGACTCTTGACAAAACCTTTGAGATCCTCGAGAAAAGTAATGTATTCCTGGTGCTCCAGGGCTGTGCTGAGCTCCACCAGCTCGTCTGCGAATGTGTTATCCACCCCTCGGTCAGCCAGGAAATCCATCAGGTGGTCGTACAAGGCCTGTGAGCACAGACGGCCCTTCCTAGTCCCAGGCCGCGCCCCTGCCGGCCACCGAGCCGCCCGCCTGCGCGCCCCCCTGCCCGCACTCACCCAGTCCAGGGAGTCGGTGTTGAGCGTGTAATTCGTGTCCTTCCAGTCAGACTCGCCCACGGACTGGAAGCTCACCTCCCTGATGGAGAAAATGTCACTCTCCTCCTCTTCCTCTTGCCCGACCTGAGAACAGACGGGGTTCGGAAGAAGTGAAGCCGTGGCCCAGGACAAACTGGGCGATTTAGAGCTGCGAAGTCCCCAGATTTCACCCCTTCCCCCGCTCTGCCGGTCTCCGCTGCACAACGCTGCTGTCCTTGCCCCCCCCACCCCCGCCCACAGTACCTCATCTTCCGGATAATGACAGTCCAGCACCAGGGCCTTCTTGCCACCGTCCTTGATGACTTCCACCACGAAATTGGGTGTGGACGTCAGTTCAGGCTGGGGAAGTGAGAGTGCGTCAGGCCGCTGCCTGGACGGCGGCGGGGGGGGGGCGGCTCGCGGTTCCGGGGGTCTGACGACCACCACCATTAGGACAGCCCTTAGCCACTTCCAAACTCCTACATGATCCTGCTACTCAACAAGGAGCCTAGAACCTTCCACAGCACTAAAGCCACATGCCAGCTCGTTCAGGAGGCTGGGCTACACTTCCTGTTGGTCCTTCCCCGAGTTCTGAACCAGGTTTGAGGGTGGGGGGACCACACGTCTCCAGGGTTTCGCTTCCGTTAGCCCCCTACTTGTTTACAGAACTGCCTAGGTCTCAAATGACGAAATCTGAGCTGGGGTCCCAGCTAAGTTAATTGATCTGCTCTCCCCCAGGCCCGTTTTTCCATCCGTGCACTGCAAAGCTGGCCTAAACCTCCCAGATCTCACTGCCGCTGCCCGGTTCGGGCTCTTCCTGTCACAGCCCAGGACCCAGGCTGGTGCACCCCGCTAACCGGCCGTCCTCACGGCTCAAGAATCACAGCGCCCGTCTGTGTGGTGGTGAGCCGTCCCGCATCAGGGCGATGGCGGCCAGGGCGGCTGGGACAGAAGCGCCCCGGGGGTGTCCTCTCCGTGCTCGGCCAAGAGACGGGCCCAGGACCTGCTGAGGGAGTCCGGGCACCCTGTGGCCCCGATGCTGGCCGGGCCGTAGACCAGACACACTGCCTCCCACAACGTGCAGACCAGGCAGGAGAGCCGGCGGCCGGGGCAAACACCTCCTCACCGTGTCGGGCCTTAGTCTCTGATGCCCCAGCTTCGGCAGTGGGTGGTTACTGCCAGCCCATGACACGCCGGAACGTTCCTCCCTTGCAAACGCTCCAGATGAGCATCCCGATACCAAACCTCTCCCGATCCTGGGAAGGCTGAAGACGGGTTCAGTTCCTTCCCACTGAGCGAACACAGGCTGCAGCGTGGAACCCAAGCCTGCAGGGGCCGCGATCCTGGTGCCGAAGCCCGAAACCACTGCGCGGGGAGTAGCGGCCCAGAGATGGCCGTGCCCTTGCCGGCCCTCACCTGCTGGCGGCGAACAAAGGAGATCAAGGCCCGTGCCCCGCACCGCGCTCACCTCCTGTTCTTCCACCTTCTGCCCCTGGGACGGCTCCTCCTCCCCTTCAAACGTGGGCGGGATGCTGTTGTTGATGTTGAAGGTGACGGTGATCCTGCAAAGGGCAAAGACCAGGCCAGGGGCTGAAACTGTAACGGGTGGACAAGCAGCGAGCGCTGCTGCAGTGACAGACGCGACTAAACAATGTCTCAGAAGCTCTGCACCGACCCGGGCGTGGGGTCAGCAGTCTCCCTGCTCCGGGCCCGGCTTCATCTCCGCCACATGCAGTCCCGGGGGCCCTCCACTGGCGGTGAGCGGCTGAGCGTGCGGTGTCCCCAAACAGAAGCCTCCTTCCCCGAGAAAGAATGCCCACAGGGAGGGGAAGAGAGGCACCATGGTCACCTGCCATCAGCGGAGGACCCAGAGGGGCTCTGGGGAGGGGGGCTCCCCAACAAACCTATGTGCCGCCCAAAGCGGCTCTTCTCCATTTTTTTTTTAAAGGATTTTATTTATCCATTTGAGAGCGGGAACACAAACGGGGGGGGGGCAGCAGAGGGAGGGGGAGAAGCAGGTTCCCCGCTGAGCAGGGAGCCTGATGCGCGGCTCGATCCCAGGACCCTGGGATCATGACCTGAGCCGAAGGCAGGTGCTCAACCGACTGAGCCCCCCGGCGCCCCCAAATCCATTCTTCGAAATAGCAGTGGGCAGTTTTATAATCACGAAGCAGGCTGGAAACACCCAACTCATGACAATTAAGCTGCAAGACTCCTCAGCTGCCAAACCCTGCTCCCGAGTCGGACTGGGAGCCATAGGGAGGGGCCCTCTGGCACTGACGCCCCACAGGTCCCCTGGGCTCGCTCGGGACCCCCACCCGCCGCCCTCTGGAGCCAGGAAGCTGCTCTCCTGATGCTGGTGTCGCAGTCAGCCACAAAACCGGTCTCATCTGTCCCCGGGCTGACCAAGCTGAGCTCCTGGGCACACAGGTGCGGTTCTGTTCACGAAAACATTATCTATAATGAGCCCAAACTGGCTATGAGTCACACCCTAGAAAGATGGCTTAGGGGATGTCACAGGGTGGGGGGGGGGTGGATGGACACGCACCGGAGGCAAAGAAAACCAGAACCCTACTTTACAACATACACAGAAGTTTACTCAAAAAGGGGACGGTGAACAGCTGAACTTGGTGGAAAGTTCCCCACCTTTCTCCCGGGGACACTCACTGCCCTGTGTCGTCATCCGCTCACATGTGAGTTACACAGCTCACGTGTTCCCTGCTGTAAACGCCAGGGCAGGGCCTCAGTTCCCACAGCGGAGGCCGCAGTGCACAAGTCCACACCGCAAACCTGAGGCCAATCTGTACCGGTCGGCACTGTACGAATTTCTGAATCTGGGGCGCCTGGGTGGCTCAGTCAACTGAGCATCTACCTTCAGCTCAGGTCATGATCTCAGGGTCCTGGGATCGAGTCCTACGTGGCGGGGGGGGGTGTGTCTCTGCTCAGCAGGAAGCCTGCCTCTCCTTCTGCCTCCCCCCCGCTTGTGCTCACATTCTTTATCTAATAAATCTCTTAAAAAAATTGCTGAATCTCTGTGTCTGGAATCAGGCACAGCCTCACCAGGAGGACAGCCTGTACTGGTCCAGCAGACTTCCAGCAACATCCTTCCCTACTGTCTTACTTACTAAACCAACTCGCAGCAGATCCCTGTGCAGCTAACGAACCACTAAAGGCAGCTCTGGGAGAAGGCAGGGCAGGTCCGGCAAGGTCAGGGAGTCGGCCCACTCCGACCCGCGCATGTGTCCCCCCCTACAGGCCCCCCATACTTACTTTTCTCCAGCAACTTTCCGCACCAGCTTGGCTTCCGTCCCGGTCACTTCCAGCTCCCAGCCTCCAGACATCTTGGGCAGGGACTTGTGCTTCTGTATCTTCCTTTCCTCCTCAATCTCATCATTCAGGAACTCAACAAAAGCTTTATCTCCTACCGTGAAAATCCGTAAGATACAGAAAGAGAAAAGCCAGTGAGTGTAAACCCTAAAAAAGACTCGGGGCGACTGCAACCAGAAACCTGGCCTCGGGGCTGTTTCTGACACCCCTGCCGGGCATGCGGCTCCCCCGGAGCCCGAGTCACACCCGCTAGGCCCGGGGGTCCTGCCCTGTGAAGGTGCCGGGTACCCTCAGCGCCAGGCTGAGCTCAATCCTGGAAAAATGACTTCCAGCAGTGAACTCACCACCACGTTTCACCGCGAAGCCCTAAGTTTCCCGGTTACCGCCCCCTTCGACCTGCCACAGACAGGACCTCCTGCTTTCCAACCGCGACCACCGCCTCCCCAAAGCTCCCTTTCCGAGCCTCGGGGCGAAGCCGGCCGCCGGGGATTAGAAGTGGCGCCGCCCCGAAGCGCAGCACTTGCTGGGTGAAGACGGGAAACGCGATCCCACGCGGGTGTAGCCCGAGGTCGTCCACCAGCGGGGGAGGCTGCGGACCGTGGCTCGGGCCTCCCCCCCCCCACTCCCGACCCTTGACCCCCAGCTCCCTGAACCCCCGTCCCCCGGTCTCGCCCCCTGGTTCCCCGACTCTGAGCCCCCCGCCCCCGGCCCTCACCCTGGGTGTGCAGCGCGCCGCAGCCGCAGCTGCAGGGCCCGCGGGCGCGCAGGAGGCCGGCGCACACACGGAGCAGCCCGAAGGGCCGCACGCACGGCCGGGGTGCGGGCTGCAGCAGCGGCCGAGGCGGCGGGGCGGGCGCGGCGCGGAGCCCGGCGACGGCGGAGCCCAGCGCGCGGGGCACTCGGCGCAGCAGGGGCAGCATCGCGGCGGCGGACACGTGCGGGTGCGAAGGACGAACCCAGGCCCTAAATCCCGGCCCGCGCGCCGCCGGAAGTCCCGCCCCCGCCGGGAGCGCTTCCGCGCCGGCGCAGGGCGGGCCGGAGGCACCGGACTAGGCGCGCCCCCTACTGGGGGCCTCCGAGGTCAGCGCCGCCGCCCGCGCCGGATCATCCCGCGGGACCTGCAGTGCCGCCGAGCCCCGCGGGCCGCTCTGCTCCAGGGCGGGCCCTCTGAATTCCTGCGACCACCGCCCCCCCCACCCAGCGTGCACCTCCCTTTGCGTGCACTGCACCCCGACGTGCACCCCCTCCCCCGGCGTGCACACACACCCCTGCGTGCACCCCACCCCGACGTGCACCCCCTCCCCCGGCGTGCACACTCACATACACACCCGCGTGCTCACACACGCCCCCCAGCGTGTACCCCGCCCCCCCACATGCACCCTCCCAGCGTGCACCCAGTTACGAAGGCACGGCATTATTCTGGGGCCAGGAAGCTGGGAGCGGGAGCGAGGGGACCAGAAAAAGTTTTCAAGGCACCCAAGAGGTCACTTCAGGTCACTCAGCTATTCTATGCTCCGTGACCTACACCCTATTTGCCCAAGCAGCTTCTGGCAGAACTCCTAGGCGGTGTCAGAATCGCAAAGATGCAAAAAACCTCAGGAGCTAAGGATTTTAAGGTAACAAAGGGGATGCAGAAACAGTCTCCAGCCTTACTACATCAGAAATAAGAAATGAGTGGTAAAACTCCCGGGGCTGTTTCAAAAGCAAACAAGGCTGGCATCCCTTACGGGAGATGAGCCCAAGACCCCACTCCATTTATACCGGCCCCTCAGTGCACCCACAGCCCCTTCCTCCGGCCGGACTGTTTCTTCTGCTTCATTACAAGATTATTAAGTCTCCGCCCTGGGAGGAGCGCAAGCTTCACTAACATAACACGTTTTCAACCTTGTGCCTGCATCATGCCCACCTCTACCTGCCCAGACAAAACTCCCCTTTCTGAATAAGACCACACCAAACCATCCTGTGCCAAGGTGGACCCCAGCGCGGAACTTTCAATGACTTTCTCTGATTGTAACACCGAAAATCACCCTTGGGGTGAACATTTAACGTGCTAATTAGACATGCAACACACGAAAATGTGTGACCTTTAAGCGCACAGGTGCTAATAAGTCCCCACCTCTGTTTAGAGGGCTCCCCTTTCCCACCCTGACCTCTCCCCGGGTAGTCAGCCTGAGAACTCCTGGCTCCGGGCTGGCCCATCAGCCCCAAGAAGGCCTGGCCTCGCATTGCTGCCCACCTGGTCAGGTTCTAGTGCTTAGAGAGCCCACGGGCCGACACTCCCTATCAAGAAAGTCAGTCTCCCCGAATGAGTGGCGAAGACTAATACTAATACTTAAATATATTCTAAACAGCAGGGAAAAGAGATGCAAGAAAAAGCCACACACATCATGGACAAGATTTAGCTTTAATGGATCTGACAGTCCTGCGTACAGTCGACCATCATATACAGGAGCTGCTGATTCCGCGGAGCTGTCTGTCCCAACAACAGACTCAAAACACAACGTAAACCTGAGCAGTTGGGGTTTTCTCCTGCAAGTTCTCATAATCCAGTCAGAACCTAAAGCCCTCGCTTCCCGTCAGTGCAGCGGGTCCCGGCGCGCTGGAGGAAGCCCATGGTCACGCCCGGCCTGGCCAAGCCGCCGGAACGGCGGGATTACGCAGGCGCACGGAGCTCCGAGGACCGGCCTCCGTCCTGCCCGCCCTCGGCAGCCTGCAGAGGTGCCGCCCAAGGAAGGGTTCTTGTCAGGGACTAGGTGCTGGCGGTTCGTCCCTCGTGGGGACTCCACGCATGGGCCACGCGCCGGGAGCACAGGAGGCCTGTGGTCTGCGGGGAGGGCATCTCCCGCCACGAGGCTGCTTGGGGGAGCTGGTGATTCATCCGAGAGACGGCACCGGCTGGGAAGAGGCGTCTCACCTCAGACGTCTTCTCACGGGTGGCGATACGACGTCAATAGGAAACGTGGAACTTAAAGCGCGGTGTCCCCTGCAGCTCGGTATAAACAGCCGTTTATTTCTTTATAGTAATTCGTAGTCAAAATGGGGTTTCCAATCTGGTTCAATCCCTGAGCAGCTAGGTTAAAAATTAACTTTTTGAAAAGCCCGATAAAAAAAACTACTGTATCAAAACTCTGCCAGAATGTTGCAGCGACGAACGTCTTTCTGTACAGAAACATTAAAGCTGTTGGAAACTCTGCCCCGGGCTCCCGCTCGAACGGGTACTGAGCAGGGCGGATGCTGCCCTTGCCCCAGAGAACCTCAGGGAACCCCAGAGAACGTACTGAGGAACGTCATCACCCACTCCCCACTGTTTACCAGCATGATTCACTTTTTATTAAAAATACAATGTATTCTTTCCCCAGTCAGGCTGAACATCCTAGGCCTCTATTAAGAAATGAGAAAAATACACTTAAAAATTTTTCTGAACAACTCGTCAGAAAGTCAGTAACTGTAAAGAACGAGGTGGTCTGAGAAAGAGTCAGCTGAAAGTCTTAAGAATTCAGGAAGACGGGGTATCTAGGACCCCGCGGCCGGACGCTGGGGTGCTCGGGTGGGAATCAACGGGGAGGCCGAGACCCCACCCCAGAGCGAAGCCCGCCTGTGGTCTCTGCAGAGTGTCCGGGGCAGTGTGGCCCCTGCTTTGGAGCTGCACGGTCCACCGGGTAAGGAATGACAGCAACACTGCACATCTGTGTTCAGACCCACGAAGCCCACAAAAAATGCTAAATTGGCTTCTTTTAGGGCAAAACACTCTCTGGGAAAAGATGACTTGCTTATGGTAATTAAACAGTGAAGAGGAACCTTTGGTGTCTCTCCCCTTCTCAGAACACGAGGCCGGGAAGAGACTGGAGACCCTGGGACTCCCTCTGACAGACGTGCAAACTGAGGCCCAGAGGGGGGACCAGCTCACGCAGGAAGCAGCAAAGCCAGGCTGTGTCCCCCTGTCCCCAAAAAGGGAGAAGCACAGAGACAAAGAATGAGATGCAAGAGCACAAACCCCAGGTGCGGCTGGGTCCTCACCGGCCACCCCCCTCCGGCCGCCCCAAGAGCTCTCGGCCCGGCCCTGCCGGGAGAGACGCGCCACTCCTCAGGCCCGCGGGGTCATACGTGCCCAGCTGGGGAGAGACGCGGCCAGGGCCCACGCTGCAGGCCACCGCACCGCCAGGTCAGCACTCCTCCACCGCCCGGCTTGGAGCCCGGGAGCGGCAAGGAGGTTGGCGCCCTGGGGCGTGAGGTTCACGAGGGGAGAGCCAACAGCACTTCCCTCCTCGAACTTCTAGAACGTGAGAACAGATCCAAGGACAACAGCTGAGCTCTGCAACCCCGCAGAGTCCCCTCTCGGGAATCCTCCCCATCACAGGGACTCGGGGATTCACACCGGGCGCGACGGCCCGCGTCTCACGGTCTGTCCATTGTGGGCCCCGCGCGGACCCTCGCGCGCTGCTACTACGCCCCCATGCGGCAGGCAGGGAACTGCGGCAGTTCCCAGGGGGAGCGCCCCGCGCGGACCGAGCGCCCGGGGCTGCGGCTTCCACCCCGTAAACAGAAGCGCTCGGCTCTGCGCTCCGGGTTCTGCGCGCCGGGCTCGGGGGTCGGGGTGGTCGAGCCCCCCCAGCGCCAGGCCCCCCGGCACCAGGCATCCCCCCCCAGAGGGGGTCGGGGGGCTCAGTCACGGGCCACCCGCAGCTTCCTCCGGAAGTAGTCGGGGGCGGCCTCGTACAGCCAGTCGGCGTCCACGACGCACAGGTCCCGCATGTAGCACCTGCCGGTGTGCAGTAGCTCTGTGTAGACGACGCAGGCCGGCCGGCAGTGGAAAAGCACGGACGAGGGGTGGATGGCCACCGGCTGGCGGGTGTCCGTGGTCACGTACGTGCCGTCCGGCTGCAGCTCGGCCGCGCTCATGAACAGGCTGTGCGCCAGGCAGCGACGGACACTCTCCACGTCCCCGCGGGAGGACACCATCGGCATGGACATCTGTGGCGGGAGAAGCAAGCAGCAGAGACCACCCCCGGTCAGGCTCAGCGGAAGCCCGGGACGTCGACGGGGCCACCAAGGCTCTGGCCGGGTGCGGGACCCTCCACGCCTCGCCGACGGGGATGGATGGCCGGCTGCGGCCCAGGGGGAAAGGGCCTTTCCTGCACTTCCACCGCGGCCAAATTCACCTTCATGTTCTGGAGCGCCCCTCCAGCGAGCCCCTCCCGGAGCCTCCCGGGTCCACATGCCCCGCGGTCGGCCCCCTAGCACCGGTTCCAGAAGCTCCCACCCCTCAGCTGCGCCCCCTGGGAGCAGAGCACCAGCCGACCAGAGCGCTGGTGGACACCCGCCTGACCCCGGAGCCCGCTTCTCCCCTCCAGCCGTCGGGAGTGGGAGCTCGGGAAACCTGACCACTGTCTGGCTCCCCCGTGGGGAGAGGCCTGGGAGAGCAATCACCAAGGAGGCAGAAGGCGGGAAGAGGGAGGGGCGTGCAGAGAGCCGCCTGAGAGCGCCCCCCAGCCACTCCGACGGTCCCTGTGGGGCTCGACCGTTTCCTGTCCACAGCTTCCCGGAGAAACCTCTCCATCCTACCTCTCTCCCTTTAAGATGCCAGGGGTTTTGGTTTCTGCAATCCGCTGACCCCTGCCTGTGGAGGACGCTCTTCGTCTCAGCTACCACCACCTCCAGGGAGCCCCCGAGTCCTGCAGCTAACTGGTCTCTCCTTCCAGGCTGCTGGCTCCCGGGACAAACTACCCAAGTTCTTTAGGCCCTAGTTTCAGCGTCTGTAAAGTGGGACTAGAACCCCACAGGGGAGACACCAGGATTTCAGATGAGGACCAGGGGAGGAGGTCTCCCAGACGCCAGGAGGGCCAGTACCTTCAGGCAGATATCCCTCAGCTGCGCTCGGACTTCGGCCACCAGCATCATGTTCTTGCTGTTGACAAAGTTCTCTCTGCACCAGTCCTGAACGGGAGAGAAAGAAAACAACCCTGTCACTTCCACAGAGAAAAAAACAGAACTTTGAGAACGTAGCTGAATTCAGAGAGAAGACGTCAGTTGCCAAAAATACAGGAAAACCGCTTTGTATCAGAAAGCATGAATGGTAAGGGTAAATTAGAAATACTTCACAGACTAAAAATTCCCTCATGTCGGGGGCCTCAGCTGGCTGGGTTGGGGAAGCTCACAACTCTCAATCTCAGGGTGGTGGGTTCGGGGCCCATGCTGGGCGTAAAGATTACTTAAATAAACAAAATTTTTTAAAAAAGTTCCTTATGTCAAGTCACCGTGAAAAAAGCTACAGACTGGAGTATTTGCATCACTACACTCAATAAAGGATTAATGACCCCAGAATACATGAAGAAAACGTCTATGTATCGATGAGACAATGACCAACAACTTGGCAGGAGAAAGGACAAAGGACGGGAACACCTGACGCGCAGACACGGACCGTGAACGTCCAATAAAGGTCCACACGATGCTCGGCCTCCGGGGGACTCACGGCAAAGTCATGTAAAGTAACTGAGATACGATAGGGTTTCATATGCATCGACTTGGCAAAAACACGTCACTTCGCGGAGAGGCAGCGCGGTGGGAGTGGGAAGCCTCCCGACCGCTGCGGGTGGACCGGAAACCGTGCGCTCACGCAGTCAGGCACGCGGTCACCCCCGCGGGAAGGGCTTTTGCTGGATGTACAGCATTTATTTCCTCAAAAATAAACTGAGATAAATACAGCAGAATGTTTACAACCACCAAACCTGAGCAGTGGCTGTTTTTCTCGAGAACTGACTGCGTCACGATGCAGAGTAGAAGTGCACACAGCAGGCGCACGTGCGGATTCACCGACAAATGAGAGAACATACGGGTGTATTTCTGAAAGCGTGCATCACACCATCTCACTTGTAGGGAAGACCTAAGTTAGTACTCGGTTTTGCTAACTGCAAGCAGCACAACAGGATTTTCACTTTTATGGAAAAGGCGGAAAAGCAAAGGCAGCGTTCAGTGTGTGTTCTGTTCTGCAGCGAGCCCCACAGCGGTGGCCCAACCGGCCCTCACCCCGGAGCTGCAGGACCCCCCAACCCTGAGCTGCAATGACCCCAGAGCTGCGTGGACCCCCCGGAGCTGGGCTGACCCGGGAGCTGCGCTGGACGCTCCGGCATCAAGCTGCCGCAGGAACAGCGGGGCTTTAGCTGCATTTCTTTTGTGCATCTGTTAGCAACATGGGGCCTGAGGTATCAGAAAAGCCTAAGACAAGCTACTTTTTGGGTCTAGGAACACGGCAAACCATCTCCGCGTGAATTAATGGCGACTGCTTCTCCCCTTTGCACCGCTCTGGCTTGTGAGAGGTTTCAGAGCGCTCTGCCGTCACGCGGCGGGGATCGAGAACGCCGTTCCCATCCGGCTCTGAGGAACAGAAAGAGCCACCAAGCCAACGCTACCACGGAGAAAGTCAGGGGCAGGTGGGGAAAAGTTCATTTCGGAGCTAAGAAGCTGGGCCACCCAGCGCCCGGGGCCCCTGTGGCAAGGACGAGGGGGAGGCTGACGGGTCCTCCCCGGTGAGCCCTGGGCGCAGGTGCCGCGGCAGAGCCGCCCGCACTGACCGCGCAGCTCGCGACGCCCCGCCGAAGGGCAGGCGTGTGTCAGGCTCAAGTGCGGGAGGACGCACCGCGGGGGAGAAGGCCCGGGCCGAGGCTGACCTTACTGCCGCCCAGGTTCTTGAAGGTCCGGTAGATGTTGAGCAGCGTGATGTGGTCCCCCTCCCCGGACACGAACTTCTTGCGGACGGCCTGCACCTCGTCGCGCCGGGCCGGAGGGCTGTACAGAACGCTGTCCACCGACAGCAGAGAAACGATGGTCAGGATCTCCTCGGTGCAGTGGAACTTGGGGGACAGGAGTATGGTCTGCACACAGAAATGATAGATGGTGTGCACCGAGCTCTGCCCCCGTTCTGAGCACAGCCCTTCCACCCATGGCCTCGGAGGCCGGGTGTTTCTGCAGCCACCTGCTCGCCAGAACCCCACGGCCCTCCCGCAGGCTCCCACGTTCCTGGGGGTGTGGGGGGCTCACGACTTAGCGCGGCCCTGAATCTCACATGAGGCCAGCGCATGTCAGACACAACATGAGGCCACAGCTACTCAGGAGCAACGGTGAAGGTGAAGCCGGGGCGGGGGGGGGGAGGGGGCGCAGGTTGCTGCCCCACGAGCTGTGACGGGCAGAAGGGGCACGGAGAGGAGAGGCGACTCACTTTGGCAAATCTGGGCTCTAAAGGGAAAGCTGCCATCTTTCTTCCCAGCGGAGTCAAGGTAAGCTGGTTGTCCTTCTGTTCAAGAGCACCTAGCAGGTCCAGCTGGGCGACAGCCGCCTGAATGTGGTCTATAGACAGACGGGAGAGGAGGAAAACCTGCAGCCACTCTGCGCTTCAGAGAGTGGAGGACTCTGCGCCCAACCCCGGTCCTGGGGCACAGCGGCTGGTGACACCCCGTCTTCAGGTCCGCCTGCAGCAATGGCCCGTGACCCCACTGCGTCACATGCACGCACCCCGCACACAGACACGCTGTGGCGCCGCCGGGACCCGCATGCGGAAGCGGAGACACGCAGCAGTGCCCACAGGCCCTGCGAGGCCCAGCCGAGAAACACTTACTATTCTCCCCTCCCTACTTTCTGAATTTCTAACCACGTCCACGCATCACCGGGTGAAGATTCAAGCAGCATGTCCAACAACGTAATAACGCACACAAGCGCGAAGACGAAATGCCGCGCCCAGGCCTGACGCGAAGCCACAGCTCCCGCCCCTGAACTCTTACGGGCACAGAACCTCCCCAGAGATTCCCAGGTGCCTCTCTGACAGCCGAGGTTATGCAGCAAAGGGAACGAGAGAGGAGAAGACCCCCAGACCCTTTTCGGAGAGCCCACCCGTTAGGTGGTCCTCATGCACCCAGGCCCCTGCCGCCTACCTGGAGAGGGCTTGGACATGAAATCAAAGGTGAGCACGTCGGGGATTTTCATTGCAAGGAGCTGCAGCAGCACACTTGCCAGGTTACACCTGTGAGGAGCAGACCCGCGGCTGACGCACCTGCTCCTGGTCCTGCAGCTCCCTGGTTGGAGCGACGGGGGCGAAGGGGGTGCGGGGGCCCAGGGCAGCGGGGGTGCGGGGTGGCCAGGGTGGCGGGGACGGCAGGTGTGGGGGCGTGGGGCGGCAGGGGTGCAGGAGCACCTACCTCTGGATCTCGGGCACGGTCATCTTCTCAAACTTCTCGAACTCGTCCTCCGTGTAGAGCCGGTAACAGACACCGCTGCCCTCCCTGCCGGCCCGGCCCGAGCGCTGCCACGCCTGGGTCTTGGACACGCGCTGCACGGCAAGCACCTCCAGGCCGCTGCCTGGGGGGAGAAGGGCCCGCGTTAGCGCTTCGCCCAACACCCGAGCACACTGGTCCGCAGCGTGGAGCAGCAGCAGCATTCCCCAGAACACCGGTGATCCTTTCTGCAGCACGAGTCCAGAACCCCAAGGCCCCGTGGGAAAGCACAGAACCAGAGCGAGCGCTCTGCACTGAAATAGTGGGGGATGCATCTCAGGAACGTCAGAACATGCTCGGCCGGTCTGCCTGGGACTGAGGGTTTCCCAGGCCGCGGGGCTTTTCAGTGCCCACACCCCGACTCCAGGAAACTAGGGTAGCTGGTCACCAGTCAATGCCCGTGCCTGCACCCGCCCACCCAGCTGTGCTGCAAGAGGGAGACGTGGGATGGAGTCACTCCCGGGACTGAGTATGACACGCGTCCTGGATAAAGGTGTGCTCTGTGCCAGGCATTTCCAGCACTAACTCCAAATCTGCACCCTCGGGAGCTGAGTCGTGCTCTGTAATCAGACACTTTGGCTGCCTCTACTCCTCTGTAGCACAAAGCCCGGTAGAAAGCAGACAGAGGACCGGAGCATCCAGCAAGCTCCCACTGCACACCCTCAGGAATAGCTGGTGTCTCACCCCAGCCTGGGAGGTTTGCTTCCTGGGATGCCTGGAGCTCAAACATCCATCCCGATGAAGCTCCCGCCCTGGTGTCCGGGGTCCCTGGCTGCACAGCCCCCTCACCCAGCTCCTCAAGGGGTCTCAGGCCAGGCCCGGCCCCCGTTCTCAAGCCAGTGAAGTCTGGACTCGTCCCGCCACACTGGGCCCCTCGCTCCCGCTGCCTGCCTCCTTCCTGGACCTGACTGCTTTCGGCCTGGGTCACCCGCGCTGCCCGTGCCGCGCTGGTCGGTCACAGTGAGTCCGAGCAGGAGGCGCTGGCTGGGAGGAGCTGTGGGGAGAAGAGGGGCTCGTGAGCTCGATTCTCACCAGGATTATACTTCTTTGCTTTAACCATGCCCGTGTCGACCACATATTTTATTCCCGTGATGGTTATGGAGGTCTCAGCGATGTTGGTTGAAACGATCACTTTGCGACAGCCCTGGGAGGAGGAAGCAACCAGGAAGTGACACACAGGACTCCGAGGTTTCACAACATAGCTCTCACCAGTAGCTTCCACAGCCCACTCGTGCTCCAGACCCACGTGACTAAAGGGAATCCCTAACTGAGTAAGGAGTCTCCTGTCTTCAAGGCTTACTTGAGATGATGAGCCGCAGGGCAACGGGCAGGCGTGGGCTGGACCCCCGGCCCTGCCGGGCACTCCCTGAGCACCGTCACTCCGCCCCTCGGGGTGTCTGTGTCTACACGACGGGACTGCCCCCCACCCTGCCAGTTCTCCAGAGGCAGGCCGCACATGCAGGGTGTACGCACGGTGCACACACAGTGCCCAGCCCGGCTGGCGCTTGTGCTACACGGTGTGGCGGGTGCACTATGGCTGGTCTATGTCAGACTTGGGAGAGCCCCTCATCCACCAGTCACCTCCTGCCTCTGCCCACTGCACCCCCACGGTCTCCCCACTCTCCCTGTTTCCACCAGGCTGGAGAGGCCCTGGGGCTGTGCCTTCTAGTCCCGCGGCTTCACGGCTCGTGCATCTGCTACCCGAGCGTCCCGCCCCACAGGTGCCCAGGGATGGGGCCGCACAGGACAGGTGCGCGCTCACCTTTGGGGCCCCCTGGAAGACGCGGAGCTGCTGGGCGTAGGGCAGGGAGGCGTAGAGAGGAAGGACCAGCATGGAGGGGCAGCTGTCTGGGAGGTGCTTCGCGATGTCTCGGCAGGTCTTGCTCATGGCTTCGATCTCCTCCTGCCCGGTGAGGAACACCAGGATGTCCTGAGAAGGAGGGGCCTCCTGTGGAAGGGAAGCGTGGGGTTACTAGGTGCTGACGAGCGCAGGCTGCATGGAACACAATAGCAGTGATCTCCCCGTGCAGAGGTACACGGGCCTAAACTTGGTGTCTCCTCCGGGAGAACGGCCCCAGCCACGGTACACGGAGCTGTCACTTGAGTGAGTTGGCCAGCTATGTTTAAAAGTCAGTTCCCTTGGGGCGCCTGGGTAGCTCAGTTGTTAAGCGTCTGCTTTTGGCCCAGGTTATGATCCCAGGGTCCTGGGATCGAGCCCCACATCGGGCTCCCTGTTCAGTGGGGAGCCTGCTTCTCCCTCTCCCACTCCCTGTGTGTGTTCCCTCTCTCGCTGTGTCTCTGTCAAATAAATAAAATCTTTAAAAAAAAAAAAAAGCCAGTTCCCACATCTAGTAGATCTGCCGCCGAAGCGAGCACGTTCCTCCACCTACATGGTTAAGCCCAGAGCAAAAGACGCAGCAGAAGAGAAAAGGGATCCCAAGTTTTGACCCGTTTTGAGAGACGAGGGGGAGGGAAGGACTGAACAGAGGGTGCTCCAGCCTGGGCGTGGTCTGAAGGGCGTACGGCAACAAGACACGGCCGGGCTCCCTGGAGAAGACAGGAAGGCCTGGGCCTTGGCCGTGAGGCAGGGGTGGGTCACGGGAGGGGGAAACCCGAGGACGGCGTGGTTGACCCCAGCTGCCCTCCTCTAGCCGACAGGGCAGGAGGCCGGGCAGACACGGCAGACAGGGGAGGCTGGAATGGGATTCAACCCGGAAGCATGGGACAAGTCCAGAAGCTGTGCAGAGGCTTAGGAGCAACTGCCCTGCAGAAAGACAGCATGAGGCGCTCCGGGGAAAAGTGATCGCATGCAAACACAGGAAAAATATTCACGATGGGCCAATGGGAGACGCTGGAACACCTGGGGGAAAATGAGCCACAGGAACGCAGAAAACTTGTACGACTATGTCGCACAAGGAAGGAGCCATTAGGATGGGTCCTGCTGGCAACGTGGGGTCCCGAAGCTGCAATCCTGACCGGTGGCTTGAAAACCATGAGATACGTCTATGCTGAGAGGCTGGAGGAGCATCAGGTTGGGGAGGGTAAGGGTAAAGCCTCACCTCCTGTGGCAGGAACTAACTGCCCGAGACCCGCAGTGTCGGCAGGTACCGTCGGAAACACTAGGGAATCACGAGGAAGCAGCCGGGATCTGCAACGGGGACGTAAAAGCAGCTGCTGGGTTGTTTAAGATTGACTGACTGACTGACTGACTGACTGGAGAGAGGAGAGCGTGCACGCACTGGAGCAAGTGGGAGGCGGGGTGGCAGAAACGCTCAAGCGGACTCCCTGCTGAGGAAGGAGTCAGCAGCCGCCCTTGGGGCTGAGCTCCTGACCCTGAGATCACAACCTCAGCTGAAGTCAAGAGTCGGGCGCTTCACCGACTGAGCTGCCCATGTGCCCAGCCGCTGGTTTTCATGATTCTTTTAGAACGAACTACTGCCCTTTTAAACTTTAAGCACTCACCACTTAAAATCAAAATTATTTTTAAAAGATTTGCCTCTGGATTCTTTCAGAAAGTTAACATGAAGTACGAACACTCAATTTTATGAGGGCAACAAAAACGAGAGGATTTAATCACTCGGACTTAAGTAAACGTCTAATAAAATGAGATTTTCAACGTTTCTCTAAGTCGGTTTTTCCAAAGAACCCGAAAACTCTAAAGGGCTACCCGTTACTGGGTTGACACGAACTCTGGACAACAGGCAGCGAAGAGCAGGGGCCACACGTTAGTCAGGTGGCGGCGCCGCGGGCTCCGGCCGGCACTGACGACCGAACGCCGTTCTGCTCTAACCGAACAAGTCTCCTGACTCAGCTGAGGCATGAGGACGCTCAGAGCAGAATTATTTTTCATTTTAGAGAAGATAAGAGACGCCAAAAAGTAAGAAGCCGGACACGGTGACTCATGTCACGGGCACAGCGCACAGGGCGCTTCGGTTGGCAGTGTTTCAAGGCCGAGTGCGCCCCGGACGGCGAGGTGAGCCCGGCCTGTGTGGGCACGCGTGGCCAGCCCGCACCTGGTGGATCTGGAAGACGGAGACGAGCGCGGCGTGCAGGTAATCCTGCTGCGGCTGTTTGGTGTAGAACACCTGGATGGGGTGCTGCCGACCCTCCAGGTAGAGGACGGGCGCTCCGTTGAAATACTGCGAGAACAGATCCACGTCCATGGTCGCGGACATGACGATCACCTGCGTTTGAGATGGAAGAGCGTGATGACAAGGCCGCACCGGGCCTGTCCGGGTCCCCCCTCCCCAGCCCGGCAGGCAGCCGGTGAGGCCTGTGCCCCCACGTCCGGGAGCAGGGTAGGCAGGGGCGCCAGGCCGAGGAAGGAACTCGAGCCTCTCCCGGACGCGAACCACACCTACTTTGAGAGGCAGCTTCCCCAGTTCCTTTCTCCTCTTCTGGGCGGCCTTCACCACCCCGAAGAGCACATCGGTGTGCACAGTCCGCTCGTGGGCTTCATCCAACACGACACAGCTGTACTTGCGCAGCAGAGAGTCGGAAATCGCTTCTCGTAGAAGCATGCCGTCCGTCAGGAACTTGATCCTGGTGGCCTCTGAGGTCACGTCGTCGAAGCGCACTGTGTAGCCCACCTGTGCGAGGAACCGCTCGTTCAGTCCGCGTGGGCTGAGCAGCCGCTGGGTGCCCGGTGCCGGGCGGGCACGCGTGCCCTCGTTGAGGCCGCAGCCCCCTGCTCCCTCGGGCACGCATGGGCAGCCGACGCGTCCCTGTAACTGCAAGTATAAGCACTACAAAGAACCTAAAACTAGACTCTTACCCTAGCTGCTTAATAACTTAAAAGGAAGCTACAAACAGACAAGAAAAGATGCCCAAAATATTTTAAGGTGAAATGCATACACACACACGCAAAGCTGATGTATCCACAGTTCTGGGGCTCATTCTCCATACCCACCACATATCTGCTAAAGAAGTCCTTACGATTTCTCAGACAGAGATTTCAGAGGTTACGGAACCCCGAAGAATGCTCGAGGAAAGCAACTAATTTATCCAACTTGCCAACAGACTCTGAACGCAAAGCAAATGGCACAGACACATGAGGTCTGGGGAACAATTGAGAGACTCAGGCCTGCGTGACCGGGGCAAGATCGAGCCTCCCTGCGTCCGGGAGCCTGACTCAGGAAAGCGCCATGCGGGTGGGCGAGCAGCAGAGAAGGAGGTGAGGTACCAGCTTCCCGAGCTCAGTTCTCTTCTCATCGGAGACTCTCGTGGCCAGAGAGATGGCAGCCACTCGGCGAGGCTGGGTCACCGCAATGATACCCTGGCGGCCGACCCCCCCTTCGTAGAGGTACTGCGGGAGCTGCGTCGTCTTCCCAGAGCCCGTTTCCCCTGAGAAAGAAGACAAGTCTCACCTACATGCAAGTTAACATAGATTTCACCAAACTCTAAGCTGATAAAGCCCCAGGAAAAAGGGCACTCGAGTGTGTCGCTTAGAGGAGTGTTCGTTCGAACTGCACCTCAGAGGCCAAGTTGTATCAGAAGCACCTTTAAAATGTTTACACCCTGGACAGACAATTCCACTTGCAGGAATGGATTCTGAGAAAATAAAGATGCATGTAAAGATTTAGCTTCCAGAGATGTGTTATTCAACTTTGTTCCGGGCAGCAAAAAACTGGAAACAATGTAAATTTTCAACAATAGGTAACGGGCATAAAAAACCACAGGAGGAAATACAACTGTTACATAAAATGGTTACTTCTCAGAAGAAAAAATGAGATGTACTCCGGCCCACTTACACACCGCCCACTTACACACCACCCGCAACAAACTCCACGCCATTCTGAAGCCTGCCCTTTCTTTCAGACCCCCGCCCTGGCCCACACTTCAGGACTCGCCTGCTGTTGCCAGGTCTGCCTGGCAAACTCTACAGGATGAGTCACACCTCAAACTCTCTCCCTGGGGCTGCACTGGTGGCCTCCTCCTATTGTGTCCCTGGTACCTTGTCCATCTCTCCTCCAACACTGACCACCTTACACTGTGTGCCAACAGCCCAAGTCCCTGGAGAGCAGGGAAGGTCGATCTGTCTCTTCCATGAACTTGAACATCCTACATACAGTTAGCATCCAATGTTATTTCCCACCTGCGTGGGTTCCTCTAACTGTACTTAAGTAGAACAAAGAATTTGGTAAACCTGGGCATCCTTCCCCTCTGGCTATCACTAAGCTTCTCTGACCTTAGAGTCCTAAATAGGATTATTCTTGCATTTCCCACTCTGCTCATCCTCCTGACCCAGCCAAGAATCACAGACTAAGAATGTGATTATTCTGCTGCATTCCTGCTGAATCCACCAGGCAAAACCCCAAATGTGGATCGATGTCTCCCTGTCCATCTTTTCTGCTCTTACACCAGACTCCTGAGCATTGCTAAAGTAAAACAGCCCACCTATGCAGATGAAGATATGATATGAAGATATGAGTCTGTAGTGGGGCCAAAGCACCTGGACTGCAGCACTACCACTAATCCTGTTCTCGCTTCTGCAGCCTGGCTCTGTCCCCATCCTCCCCAAGGGGCCCCTGACTCCCATTCTCAGCAGAGCTCCTGCACCGATTCCACATAACTGAAGTCCTCACAAGCGCTCTCCCTCTCCCTCCCCTACAAACTTCACCCCAGCCACACCCATGCTCACCTCCTTTCGCCAGCCCCCAGCCTCCTGGATATCCTTCCTCCTATTCCTGGCCAGCGTGTTTCCAAGCGACCCCTTCCACCACCCCCCCTCCACTCTATTCCTGCCGGCTTTCCATCTTCAGCTCCTTCAGCTCGTCTCTACAGAGCTCTTCCCGTCAACCAATGAATGCAAACCCCTCAGCTTCCTTCCCTTCCTCCCGCAGAAGCCTGCTCTCACTGCCTTCCTCCCCTCACCGCCTACTCAGTCCTCAGCCCGGTGATAAATCTGCTCCTACGCCCCACAGCTTTGCCGACCGCGCGCTCAATGGGATCCACAGTCAGTACCCCGCACCCAAATCCAGCGGACACTTCTTTGGTACCGGTATGGGGCCTCACGGCTGCATCCGTTCACTCCCTTCTTCCTACGACTCTACTCCTCTGACTTGCGCCCCCCTGGCTCTCCCTCCACTCTTTGAGGGCTCATCCGCTCCGTCCTTCGGGAGCTCTTCCTAACGTAAGCGCTGGAGATCAACGCCCCCGAATCACAAGCCCGCCTCTTAGTTCGCGCACCAGAAGCTGCGACTTCGCGTCAGACCCGCCTGATTCTCCCCTCCCGGCGGCTCCCCCGCAGCAGGCCCGTCCCCGTGCGCGCACTGCCCTGCCCCGGGGGCCGCCTCCGTCGGGGGCCGCCTCCCGGCCCTCCCCTCTGAGCCCCGAAGTCCCCGGCACGCCCCTCCGCCCGGCACGTGGGTGGCGGCCCGCGGCGGGGCTTCTCCCCCGAGCCCCTCGGGCCACTCACCGATGAGGACGGCGCTGTCCAGGTTCCGGAGCTGGGCCAGCAGCTGCCCCCGCGCCGAGAAGATGGGCAGGCTCCGGCGCTGCCGCTCCACCGCCTCAGGGTAGGGGCTGGCCGCGGGCTGCGCCAGGGCCGACTGCTGCCTCCGGCCTCCGCCGCCGCCGCCGCCGCCCGCGGTCAGCAGCATCACCACGCGCCCCCCGGGAGGCCCGCAGCCCGGCCGGAACCTCTTGGGCGGCGGGAAGCCCGCCTCCTCGGGCATGTCGGGCGGCCGCCGCGACGGGAGACCTGCACCCCGGCAGCCGACGGCAGGCGCGTGCTGTCCCTTCCTGCCGCGCGGCGCGGCGCCCACCGATGACCTCACGGCCGCCGCCGCGGTTCTCCTCAAAGGACTACGGCTCCCGGCGTGCACTGGGGGCCTGGGCCGGGGTGCACGAGTGGGGGCCGGAAGAGGGGCCCGAGGTACGACCGGGAGGAAGAGCCGGAGCTACAACAGCGAGGGGCGGAATGGACGGTTCCGCACGACCTCCACCATCGATACTGACGCTCTTCCTGACCGTTTTACTGTCCCGGTAACACGGTTTCCTGCCAGTAAACACGCGTCTCCCCTTGTCGCCAACAGCAACACCCGCTCTGCAAGGGAAGCACTTGCTTTTGTAAAATCAGCGGGGAACGCGCAAACACGTGCACTACTTAACCCTCTAGGGCATGCCGTACGGTAGACTCTGACGTGAGCCCCGAGAACCAGCCCCTGACATTCCTGAAAGTCACTCGGATGTCGCCACATCGGAGTGCTGGCGAGGGTGCTGGTGAGCCCCTGTTGTTAGGGCCGGGGAAGGCCTCGTAGGGTATGCTGCTGACAACCGAGTGCTCTCGGGACCGGGTCTGCGCGGGTCAGGCCAGCAGGGAGAGGGGTTCGGTGGCCGGCGGGGACTGTGGCCCGCCTTCCTCCCCAGCCCCCACCCCGTTCCCGTTCCCTAACCCCAGCCCCTCCCCGTTCCCGTTCCCTCCCGAGCTCCTGCCCAGATTCCTCCCCAGTCCCCTCCCCGTTCCCATTCCCTCCCCAGCTCCTCCCCCAGCCCCTCCCCGTTCCCGTTCCCTCCCCAGCTTCTGCCCAGATTTCTCCCCAGCTCCCTCCCCCGTTCCCATTCCCTCCCCAGCTCCTCCCCTATTTCCTCCCCAGCTCCCTCCCCGTTCCCTCCCCAGCTCCTCCCGCAGCCCCCTCCCCCGTTCCCGTTCCCTCCCCAGCTCCTTCCCCAGGTTCCTCCCCCAGCTCCCCCCCAGCCCCCCCCCCGGTTCCCATTCCCTCCCCAGGTCCTTCCCCAGGTTCCTCCCTAGCTCCTTCCCCAGCTCCCAACCCCCTTCCCTCCCCACCTCCCCCAGCCCCCCCCAGATCTTACCCCCTTCCCTCCTCAGGTCATCCCCTAGCTCTCTCCCCCATTCCCTCCCCCAGCTCCCTCCCCATTCCCTCCCAGCTCCCCCCCCAACTCTTCAGAGAGGCTGCCAGGCCCATCACACACATCCCACCAATGAAAGGATTCAAAACTCCAGCAGGGAAGATAGGATGAAACCAGCAAATTGTCTCCTCCTGCATCCAAATCTCTCAGCTGCTGGTTTGTGGCAAAACAGTGGCAGGAATTATTTCCAGAGAATTCATCGGATGCTTCAACCCTCCTGAAGGACTACGGGCATCCTCTGAAGTCTATCTCCAGGGAAACTCATCCTATCTGTAAACCTGTTAAAAATCCTTCTTCCCCTTTCCTCCAGGGAAGAGATGATTTTCCTCTAGTTGCTGACAGTGTAGCCATCAAGGGTGGCTGAGAATGTGCATGCTGAATTCATAGCACATGCGCGTTCAGAATTGACAAAATGCTACTTCCTACCCCGAAATATTAACTTAGAAGGGCAATTCACCCACACAAAAAAAAGAAAAAGAAACAAAAAAGGCAACCCAAAACTGAAAGGGAAGTAACTAGTCTGTTCAGGCTGCGGTAACAAAAAATATGACAGGCTGAGGGGCATGCATTGCTCACAGTCCAGGAGGCCAGGAAGCACCGGCATGGCTGCCGCGTGGCTCACATGGTTCATGTGGCTCGTGGCTACTGCTCGCTGCCCTGTCCTCACAGCGAGGTGGGGACCGGGGATCTCTCTGCGGCGGTTTGATAAGGCATTCATCTCGTTAGGGCCCCTCCCGAAGGCCCCACCTCCTAATACCATCACATCAACATAGGAGTTTTGGGGGGTCACAAACGTTCACATCACAGCAATAACTAAATGTTGACTCTCAGATTATGGACCTTGCGTGTGTAACAGACGGACATCCGTCCTTTTCCCCCGGTGCTTTCCAGAATAACCTCGAGGAGACACGTGTGCCCAGTGATTGCGAGAGTCTAGGTCGGAACGTGAACAAGGGAAGTGGCTTCTGGGAGGAGCCCATGCCCCATCTCAAGAAGCAGCCGTGAGCGGTCACTTCTAGACAGTAGCAGCCAGGCAGGCCCGGGATTGCCGGATCTTCCCATTTTTTGAAGAAAAGCCCCAGGCAAAGATTTTCCTGGGAAATCGGTCCATTGTAAACGTTGGCTCCAATTTTAAAAAATGGTGCAGGCAAAATAAACCGCACGCGTGGGTGACTCATCCCCCGTCTTTGGCCTAGGGACCCTGCTGTGCTGCAGCCTCCCGGCCCCGTGGAGGGGGTGTTGACGCCTAAAATCCTCGGCAGGTCCCAGCCAGTGTTGTGCACGTCGCCCACCCCCTACGGGAGGAGTCGGAAGTCTGCGGGCCCCCCAAAGGCAGTCTCTTGTGGGTAAGTGGCTTCCCCACGCAGGCGATCATAAGATAAACATTCAAAGAATGTCAGGGCTCTTCTTCCAAGAGGGGAATTGTCAGACACGTTTCATTTTTAACCGCTCTCGGATGCTCTCTGGACCATCTGTTCTTCCCAGGAGCTATCAGCCGACTGGCGGGAGCACCACAGGCTCACTTCGGCCTCACCCCACTTTCAGACAACGCCGAGCCTCAGGCACTGGGTACGGGTGTGTGTGCACGTACATTAGTCCCTGTATAGTTAAAAATACCAGGTAATAGTCTGCTGATCAGTAGAGTGTTTGTTCAGCACCCATGTGCCAAGCACTGTGCCAGGCACTGCGGTGGAGACGGAACTCGGGAGATGCGGACCTGCCCTTCCGGGGCACACATTCCCACGCGGGAGACAAGACTCATGTCCGTGGACCAGCCAGGAGTGGTGCAAGACAATTTGTCATTTGGTGTGAGAGTGTGTCGTACAGACTTGAAGTTTGATAGGGATCCAGAGAAAGACCGGGAAGGAGGCCTCAGAATCAGGACTTCCTGAGGCGCCAGGAACGGGGCCACTCTAAGAAGAGACCTCAGTCCCTCCCTGCTAGGGACAAACAGTACGCATTGGATTTGGGGGCTGAGAAGTCACCGCGAACTTCGGAGCAGAGAAGGGGCTTGTCGGTGTCAAGTTCAACAACTTTAATGCAAACTCATGAAATAACGGGAGTAGCTTCAGGGGCGGTCCTACAGCACGGAGAACCCCGTGGTGTCGCGACCAGCAACACAGACAGCACTCACCTGTCCGAGCCCGGCTGTCAGGGAGATGCGACAACTCCAGGAGCCCCTCACCCAACAGCTCAGTGTCCCCTGGTTTCCACGGGCCCCACATGGGGGGGGAGGGGGGCTTCAATGCCAAGACCCAGGGCTTGGCGCTCTGCTCCACGTGTGGAGAGACCACACACGAGGTGGGAAAGGCAGCGGGACCCACAGAAGGGACAGAAGAAAAGGACACACGGAAGAGACTCTAACAGAAATACCTAGTGAGGAAAACACACCAACACCCACGGAACAGCTGTCTCCTAGGGAGGTGCGAGGTCCTTGTCCGTTGTTCTCTAGCGAGCCTCTGCAACATTCCTCCAACAGCAAACTCTGCCTCACTCAGGTGTGCTTTCGGTATTACTGGTAGAATCCAGGCGTGTCGGGGAAACGGGGCACAAAATCACTGCACAACGAAATAGCAGCGTGTTCTGTAAGAGTCGGGACGGAGACGGGGAACCGGGGGAGAAGGGGCCTTTCCTCACACCCAGGCAGGCGGCACAGGGCGAGGGATCGCGGCGGGGGCCCGCCTCGCGGGTGGGGAGGTTGGTGACCGGGGTCACCACTGCTTGGGACACGGCCGAAGGGCACGGAGCGGCATCCTTGGACTTCTCATCCTGTAACAACATGGAAATGGAAATCCCGCCACTGCCCACACTTAGGCCACAAATTCCGAATCGGTTTCCTGTTCTACCATCATCAATATGTACAGACATTCTCTACCTGAAACCACAGAAACCTATTTCTAGACCCTTAATAGATCATTTTAAAAACCCTAATTATTACACCAAAAAGTAATAATGTACATGTTGGCTAATTGAACTTAATAAAAATAAAATAAAAAAGCAAAACAGAATAAAAATCCCTTCTAATTAAATTCATGCTTTTTTGAACAGAGACAAGACGTGATAAAATTTAAGAATCCCATAAAGATTGTACATTCTGATTGGCATTTCAAACTTTTTCATTGCTTAGAAAAAAGCCATCCCACGAACCCATTCCATAAAGTTACAACACCTGTGTTCCAAGTTACTGACCAGCAGCGTGTCCAACATCGGCCTTAGTTCCCATCACTTATGCACGAGCCATGGGAAGACATTCAAATACTTTCTACTTCACTGCACCCCCTGAAGATCCCCACTTACTCTGAACCCCGTGTTCATCTCTCTGAGGGAAATCTCACTCTGGAAGAGCTACCACCTGCCCAAGCTACGACTACTGGGGAACAGTCCACACCTCTGTCCTGTTTGCTAAAACCATCCGCAACCGTCTCTTCCCTACGGGGGTCCACTTCATGCCTGTGGGTTTTCTCAACGACTTGGACCCTTTGAGCGCAAACCTGCTGAGGCCAGGGAAATTAATATTCTGGACAGGTCTTCACGGAATCACAGGCATCAAGTGTCTCCTCCTCCGGACCCTAATTTCTACCTGATGGCGAAGGTAAACCAGGTGCTTGGCTCTGAAAAGCTTGTGGGCTTTTCATTAAGCAAAATGACCCAAGTGAAACAAGCCCAGGACCCACAGACTCCTGCCTAACGGGTACCTGTTCAGCTGGCTCCAAAGTCCACACCCCAAGTCTAAAACCAATCTCTCTGTTGTTGTCCAAAAGGGTGGGCATGAAGTGTCTTTCCCTGGAGAGTTCTTAATGGAGAAACGCAAGCAGAGTTGCTAAGATGCCGCGGGAGCCCTGAGTCGGCCCTCCTTAGCTCCTGTCGCGGCAAGAGCCACCCTACCTGCCCTGCTTTCCCTGCATCCGACAACTGGCAGTTTCACAAAACCCAGACGGAGAACAAGCATTCTGGACACCACCAGCCCATCTTCTTCCTACTGGAGCTGGTGCTGTGCGTGAGTAAGCTGTGTGCACAGCCACGGCGCATCGGCCACGTCCTTCCATCTGGAATGCAAGCCCGTCGAAAGCTGTGAAGGCTGGGGACCAGCGGGCCCCGAGCTGCTGTGGGCCCAGGCCTGCGCGGCAGGACCAGAACCGAAGTGGTCACTTAAAAGATCACACACAAAACCTTTCGTTCAGTGAGAGAGATGGAACTCAGTTTTATTGTGTCCTCTCTGAAACTTCCATTTACCCCACGGCCTCATCTATCAAAGAGGAGGAGGGAGCTCTGGATGACTCCCCAGAACTCGAGCACGGGGGCGTGGTGGCTAGCGGCGGTCTGGCTCCGAGAGATCACGCTGCCAGGGTCGGTCCGACCGGCCGCTCCGAGTGAGTTTGGATCCATTAGTGTACCATTCCATAAAGTGCTTCTGGAGTTCAAACCTGCCAAGCCGTCAAAAGCGTCCCCACATTCATGACACAAAGGCTAAAAGAATCCCAATGGGTGTGTCACCGAGTCCTTCCCAGCTGGGTCTCGTGGTTGGCACCTGCCACTTTAACCGCCAAGGCGCTGGCCCTCACCCCAGGCGAAGCCTCCTGGCCGCTCTTCAGGTAGTGGATTGTAATTTGGATCCTCATCTGGTGTATCAAAAATAGCCTTCCTAAAAGACAGGCAACAGAGATCACTTAGTCCCGGAGTCACCTCGAGAAGGTGCCCTGGGGCCTCCACCAAAGGACAAACATTACACCCACCTACCAGAAACAGTCATCGCGCTAACAAAGTTTCACAATCATTTCACGTTTGCGTTAATGCTTTACACCTCCAGGACTTTTTTTTTTTTTTTTACTACGAAAGCAATACATGTTAGTTGTAGAAAAAACAGAAAATATACACAGACATCCTTAATCTCGAGAGAATCACTGTGGGTGCTGTCATCATTCTTCCACAACTTTTCTATGTGTAACAAAAGTTAGATCACATTTTATAACCTGACTTTCACTAAATTTATCATGAATGTCTCTCCACAACCAAGGTATCACCCGGTACCCACTGGCAGAGGGATGGATCAAGAAAAGGGTCCGTGCACACAACGGGATAGTGTTCAGCCTTAAAAAGGAAGGAGGTTCTGACTCCTGCGACATCGTGGATGAGCCCCGAGAACACTGTGCTCCAACAGCCAGACACGGAACAGATACTGCGTGATTCCACAGGTGTGAGGAACCGGGAGTGGTGCCGTCACTGCCGAGGCTGGGGGCGGGGAATGGAGCATGTTCATGAGGACAGTTTCACTTTGGCAGGCTCGAGAGCGGAAGGACGGACGGGTCGCAGGAACACAGCGTGAGGAGAGTAACGCTACGGAACTGCGCATCTGAGCTGTGTAACGTGACACATTTCATGTTAGAGAGACTTTATCACAACCGAAGTTAAAACCTCACAAATCGTTCCAAGAAAAATTACGCATCATAGGAAAGGAGAGTCAGTGTCCAAAAGACTTTTAAAATCCCTTTAGACGGTCATTCAAGTTCCCCTTCGAGAACTGACCATTAAAACAGCATCTGCTCTTTGCATCGTGTTTCTAATGACACTGCCCACTGCTGGTACCGTTAGAAATGTATCCAAAAACTTCTATTTTGTAGTGGGGCCAGAAAAAGCATCTATACTTCAGCATGAGCCGCTTGAATTCTTACAAACTAACAATCAAAGCAAACACACACCAGCAGATACAGGGCTGAAGAGGCAATTCAAAAGGGAATCCAAAAGGCCAATAAACATGTTCACTTTTGTAAAAATGAAAAGAAAGCACGTTAAACAGCAAGGCCGCTTCTATTTCCCGAACAGGCACGGGACAGAACGTGGGCACGCGAGCAGGGAAGTGGGGCCATGGTGGCCCCGAGCGGGACGGGGGTTGGAGGGCCATCCCAGCGGCACAGGGCGCACACCCATGGATGCGCCTGGTGCAGTGTGGTGAAGCCTGAGGAGGCTTCAGGCAGGCACTCCCTGAAGAGGGCAGCCCACCACAGGGGGTGCGGGCAGAGCAGGATGAGAAGGCGTCCACGCGGGGGGTGGGCGGGCAGCACCACGATGAGAGGCTGGTCCTGCACGGGGCTCACTTAATAGGTAGAGAGAGTAATGACCACAGGGTCAGGTCCCTCAGTGTCAGTGAGAATGAGAAGGTGCTATATGCATCTCAGCAAATAGGGGCACAGACCCCTGTCACGTGCAACACCATAGGCGGCTCTCAAACGCCCGCGGGTGGATGGAAGCGGCCGTATGGTGACCTTAATCGAGGCATCAGAGTGACGACCGCCACTGTGAAGATCGGTGCCCGGAAACCCGGTGCTGGCGGCCGTGGGGAGAAAGGCACGGGGTCACTTCTCTGACAGTCCTGCCAAGGACGTGACACCTGAAGCTCAACGTCAGGGACACTAGACAAACCCAGTGGCGGGACATCCTACAGATGGGCCAAGAATCCACAAAAACGTCAGGGCCACGACGCCAAGGCAAGACTCAGGAGCTGCTCCACCCTGGCAGAGACGAAAGAGGCGTGACAAGCCAGTGCGACACCTGGGCCTGAGCTGGACTCTTCCTGCAAGAGCGCTTCCTGGAACAACGGCCAGGCATGGCTGGGGTCTGAGGACTCAGGCTTTTCCTGATTGTTGACTATGTAGGGGAACGTCCTTCTTCACGGAAAATACACTTTCATGGTGGGGTCATGGGGCATTTGATGGACAGTTTACTTTCAAATACCTAAGGAAAAAAAAGTCCTTTGAAGGGTTTGTAATTTTCTGTAAGTCTGAAACTGTTTCCAAAAAAAAATTGTAAAATCGAGGCGCCTGGGTGGCTCAGTCGTTAAGCGTCTGCCTTCAGCTCAGGGTCCTGGGGTCGAGCCCCACATCGGGCTCCCTGCTCGGCGGAAAGCCTGCTTCTCCCTCTCCCACTCCCCCTGCTTGTGTTCCCTCTCTCGCTGTCTGTCAAATAAATAAAATCTTAAAAAAAAAAAGACAACACACACTGCAATCCCACTTCCAGGAACGCAGCCCTCACAAACAATCACGGACGTGTGCCACCCAAGGAAAGCCAGCACTGATCCGGCGGCTGTCGCGAAGGGAGGAGTCCGCGGTGCTGGTACAGTTCCGTAGAACGTTTGTGACGGAAAAACAGTTACCACATATTACATCGAAAAGGAGGTTACAATAGAGCTTTTAGAAATTTAGCACCCACACAGTAAAAGACAGAAGAATATGTATCAAAAGGTCAACAATAACAGCCAGTGTTCCCGCTAAGTGGGAAGATTATGGAGGGTTTTACTCTCTGCTTTGCTTAACTATTTGACAACCAACATCTTATAATAAAAACTCACATTTTACTCCTTCTAAATGCAGCACGTCTCAAGGACACAACCTTCTGGAGTAGAAAGAGGTCCCATAAACCAAAGCTCCACGAGGGGCAAGATGGAGACGGACTTTCTTAGTGCCACACAGCGGGTCAGCCCACACCTGGTTCCCAGTCTGCCTCACGGCTTAGCTCTCCTTCTCTCATTTTCTGGAAGGCCAGAAATCCCACCACTAGAAACGTCCCTGTGGTCAGGCTCACCTGCTGTGCCGCCTCGCCTCTGTAAGCTCAGACAGCGGCTCTCCAGGACCCCGCAGGCTCCGCCCGGGGACATGAGGGGCTGGTGCTCCGCGGGCACCCTGCCACGTCACCCTCAGGACACCGAGCTCGTGGAGCTTGCTCCTGCAGGACTCTGGCACCATCCACTCCAACCCAATCCAAACGCTCATCCACTGCAGCCCGTGGCTCAACCTGCGAATGCTGACTGACCCGAACAACGAGTGCCGGGAGCTATGGGAGCTCCGTGGAAACACAGATCACGGACCCTGGCCCACGTTATCTGCAAGGAACGTGCAACCTGATGTCAAATACTCACAAAATAGACGGTGTTTTCAGAATTCTGATACCACCAGGCTGATTGGGAAATACGTCTTCCAAGAAAAAATATATGTGTCCAACTGCAATACCTAAAGTCGCCCAGAAACAAAGAACGATGGAGAAGATGAAAATTTTGACTGCAGGTGGATCTGCCAACATAAATTCCATACGTTTAGGAAGGAATGTCAATATAATTACTCAAAATTAAAGGATATTGTCATCTTTGAGCCTATAACCACCAAATAATCCCAAGACAGCCGTATGTGAGTGCCAGACGTGAAAAACAGTGGCAGAGTAAGTTCACGCGCAAAGTAATAGAAACAGTAGCAATGAAGACTCTTACCCAAGAGGTCCACAATGATCGAGTTCCCCAGCAACAAGGAAAAGCCCATGAGCACCCAGGGCAGAAAGGGGGCCTGGAAGTTGAGAAGGCCGAAGAAGTTCATGCGCACGTACGGGTTCCTTCGGCTCCACACGTAGACGAGCATGATCGTAAAGGCCTGGCCCAGGAAAACTAAGCTCACAAACAAACCGAAAAGCTAGCAGGTAGCGTTAAGGAAAATCTCAAAATCACAAGTGTAACAGGAAAGGCTGAGCGAGAGAAGAGAACAAAGGGTTGTGTTCTAACACAGGTCTGAGGTAGGGAAGTCCCACAGTCATTAATCTTTAGAGGAAAAGAAATCCTGAAAATAATTACTCAGAGCAACCAGGCAAAAATCTGTGTAGGCCAAAACATCTGGACTATAGCTGCTTCCCAGTAATATTGTTTCCATGAAGTTCTCAACTATTTGGAAAATATAATAATTCCTTGGTCAATAATTACATTAAATTTCACTCACCATTAGCACCTTTAAGAGGTGAGTAAAGCCAGCCGGAGCCAAACCATCTTGTCAGACCAGACTACATTCAAGTCTAAATTATACTAATTTATCAGTTTTGATAGCGACCAAATGTCTTACCAACTTAGTTTAAAAGTACACACATCGAGCGGAACCCGGGGTGGCTCAGTACGTTAGGTGTCTGACTCTTGGTTTTGGCTCAGGTCACCCTCCCCCCACAACAAACTCTCTCTCTAAAAAAAACAAACTGTACGCACATGGACAATCCTCTGTCTAAAGTAGTGAACAGTGACCCACCTGTTACTGCTAAACGCCCCTCTGACTCGCCCACCCCGAGGCTCAGACGCGGTCACAGAGCGCAGGCTGTGAAGCGGCCACGGTACCTGCACCTACGGTCAGGAGGGCCGCCCCATCTGTGTGCTGGGCTTATCTAGCGGACTGTGGAAGACAGCTGGAGGCCTTTGGCAAGACAGAGCGCGTTCTTGAGCGTTTTCCCGTATTTGCTCTATTTGTTGAAGGATACGGTCATTAAGAATCCACCAAAAAGGAACATAAATACAAAGTCTGCTGTCCGACCTCGGAAAGAGCCTTCTTCCAGCATTCGACAGTAGCGGTATCTTAAGTTCCAAGTTAAGAAAACGGTAAGCACACACGTGGGAAGAAACTCAAGTTTAACGTATGGCTGTAGTACACTCAACTCCGCCTTAGCCGTACGAAGCCAAGCCTTCGCTTCTGTGAGCGTGTCCATGAGGGGCAGTGTGGGGTGTCCCTTGCACCCGGCATTTCGGGCGAGGTGAAGACCAGCTCCACGTTATACACACTGCTCCTGACTGGGGAGTGAAGCCTGAGGCCGCACACACGTGCTTGCAGGGACTCAGGAAACCTTTTCAAAGCTGGGTCGTCTTTCCCGAACACAGCCCCACCACGACCTGAGCCACCCTTGCTTTTTCACAGCCTAACTTGGAAGAAACGCCTGGCAAGAAGCCTTGCGTGAGGATCTACTTTTGCAGGCCAGGCAGATTAAGCATTTCTACACCTCAGCTAATAAAAACGCATCAAGAGAAAAATATTTCATTATTAGAAACTTACCAGGATGGCGTATCACACAGGACACACAGGAATCCATCAGGCAGGGATCCTGTCACCCCAACAAGGCCCCATCTCCTGCACACGGGCTGAGCTGTAACTCCCCTCTCAATCCAGAGGGTCAGGAAGAAGAGGAATGCCCTGTTCAGGGGGCCCAATTACCACCTGACCAGAGCATCCCTCTTCCCCTCTTTCAACAAGCAGCACGTGGCCTGCCAGGCAGACATATGGCACTGTCTTTCCAGCCAGTAGAACCCGCAACCAAGATCCAGGGAGATCCCATGTTCTCCAGTCCCCATGAAGCTGCTCCCAGTCCTGTGCTGACACTGCGGGACTTATCACCGTACTTGGGTACCTAGTGATGTTATGTTGTAAATATGCCTCAAAGAATCCACTTCTTTCCCTTGATCTGATTTGTAAGGGATTTACGGGCAGAAGTGTAATTATTCTTTGGGTGAATACCTCCCATTAGAACAAACAGGAACCGACAAACACCCTCAAAACGGGACTTTCTGACCAGCTAATCTGTACCACGGGGCCAGCACTCAGAAGTCACAATTAAGAGAGTAACAAAATCAGCAGCATTAGAAGCTTTAACTTACGTTGCATTCCCTAAGCAAACCTCCAGGTTTTATGCTAACCCCACTTAATAAAGGATACAGAAAGATCATGTTAAATAAAAAATTGAATCCCACTGGACCAAAAAATAAGAAATTGGTGATTAGCCTCCATATCTGTTAAAAGAAAAAAATCGAGAGATGACAGATTAAGTCAAATATACCGGAAAACATTTCCACATTAAGACAAAAGACATATCCTGGGGTTGCGATGGTGTGAAAGGCCATGAGTAAGTGACACTATGATCTGAACCAGAAAGTGGGGCGCACGCGATCTGACATTGGGTTTCTGTTTCCAGTTGGAAGTCTGAAAGGTATCACTTGGCCCCTGAAATCTGCAAGGATAATAGGACAGAAAACTTGAAATTGTCATTGTCTTAAAAAAAAAAAAAAAAAAAGCCCGTACCATACGGTCAGGTGAATTTTCGGAAAAGCTGGATGGAACGACTATGTTAATTCGCAGAACAGAAACCAGGGCTTTCGTGTGTCTAGTGTCAGAATCTAACGAGCAGTCTTGAGAGGCCACAGAGAAACTCCAGAGGCCTCACTTAAGTTGCCAAGAAATGTTTCTATATTAGTCCCTAAGAAACATCCAGAGGAAAGAGTAATTCTAGAACACTCAAGTTCTAGTCTGAGTAAACAGCCAACTCCCTACAAGTAAAGATCTAATGCTCTAATAATTAGTCTAATTGGCAGATACCAGGACACTCGTTTCCATGTTGGAAACCCTGATACACTTTTCCCTACCCAACCCATCCACACCCACAATAAAAACAACTACTCACAATGGGAGAGAACGTCACATTTTAAAATGGTTTAGCACAATCTATAATCTCGTGTGGTCCTAATAACCCTGTGAGACACAGGCTGGTGCTCCCATCCCCATGTCACACAGGAGGAAATGGGGACACTTGGAGAGCATGAAAATGGCCTGCCCAAGGGAACTGTACGGGGAGACTCTGAATCCAGGCCTGGAAATCCCGGCTCCAAATGCAGATACATGGTGTCATCAAGAGTTTAACCCCAGGCAAAATCGAGCCAAGCATGTTAACAGGAAGCAATGCTTGGATGGAGCTACAGTGCCCAGCAAAGGCCAGGTGAGCAGTGGAGGACGAAGGCAGTGACAAGAGTCCACAGGACTGCCTTGTGCATCATTCAACCCTTCAGAATTGGAAACAAAGATGAAATAATTCAGTTCTACATACTGACTGCCTCCAGGACTTTAGAGTCCCCCACTTATCATCGAGGAGACAAGCATCTAAGTAAGTGCAAGTACAAAACGAGAGATGCTCTAAAGGAAGTATTTCCAGATACCCTGGGGACACAGAGGAGGGTGAATCTGAGAAGCTACACAAAAGCTGGAGCTCAGTGGGTGTAAAGTGAACGACACACATTCGACGGAGGAAAATTCCTGACTCTTGGTCCTTCTCCCCCTCCAACTGCAGGCTATCTGATCATCCAGGAGCAGGAAAACACACCTTTCTTTGAGCACTCTAATTACTGGAAAGGACTAGCTCCTACTAGAATCTAATAAACTCACATGTTGTTTAAAGGGTCAGTCTTTTGGACTTTCGTTAGTATCATCTGATCCCTGGAAGACGGATCAATCTAAAAGCACTAACAGAGTTGAGTTTCTGAACTGGACGGTGGTGATAACACCGGGGTGTTAAGTGGACAACACAGGGCATCCTCTGAGGCTCTCCCTGGGCTGGTCGGTCTCCTCTCAAACTCCAATGTTAACTCTGAGCCAGTAATTTCTACATACAGGAACTGGACACATCAAATTAAAACCATGCAGGGAACTTTACCAATAAAATACAGATCCTTAATTCCTACCCTTGGTTGACTGCGGTTTTGGTACATGATGAGGAACCTGAGAATCTCTTCAAAGTTCCCTAGGTGATTCTGAAACCCAATCAGATGCAGAATCACATCTTTATTACCACCCTCCCCGCCCCTCCCACAATGAGACAATCAAATATTCCCACTGAATTCTTTTTTGGTAACATATAGAAGGATCTGCTACCAAAAAGTATGAAAAACAAGTTTAACAACTGAAACATGAATTGTGGTTGTGATGGACCACTTACTTGAAAGTGCTTAAAGATTAATTCAGGATTGAAGTACAACTGAAAAGGTGTGATCAATTCCAACTGCTGAAAAAGAAAAGAGCTTCTTAAAGCAAATCGATCAAGAAACAAAACATCATGTACAACAAAAGATTAGTAGGTCTAGCAGTTTCCAACTCTCAGTCGCTCTGGCTGCATCCTTTAAGGCTCTTCTTCTTGGAGGGTGTGCAAAGGGTCGGTAAAGGATTCTGTAGAAATGGTACAATTTTCTGTATCCCTTATACCTAACACAAAGAGAAAACTTTGTTCTGTGCTGCGGCAGTTGAGGCTGACCTGAAGGCAAGGGGGCAAGTTCTGCTACCCTCGATCCAGGGCAAGGAGAAGCGGCGGCCACGCACCTGCCCACCGCCAGGCCCCCACCTGAAACAGCTGTGCGGAGCGACCCAGCTCACCCCAGAGAACCGAGACTGAAGACCCTGCCGCCGTCAGGGCTGGGCGCTTCCAGACAGTCTCTACACCCGGACTCTCTTCCCTCCGGACAACTTCCCCCCCTCTGTCCTCGACGTCTAAGTTTCCTCACTAAGCGGACCTTCTTCCCACTAGTCACCAGCGTACCACCTGCCCGTCGCCTGCCTTCTCAGACACGTTTTCCGGGTGGGCGGCTCCCGCAGCCCCGACCTGCTACAGCTCCGGCCTCCCTCTCTCGGAAACCGGCCTGCAGCCCTGCCCCTCCAGCCCTCATGGGGCAGCACTCCCTTCTCGGCTCACTGGACAGGCCATCCTGGACCCCAACGTGAGCCCTGTACGCCCCCACCCACCCCTGAGACCAACCCCTCTGGGCTTCCCCGAGGCCCAAACCCCAGTTTCCCGAGGCCCCGGTCGGGCGGAGCGCGGACAAAGAGAGGCTGGCGCTGCAGCTGCTCACCACGGCGGCGGTGGTGAGGACGCAGGCGGTGGTGTAGGCGCGGCTGACCGGTGGGATCTGCAGGTACTCCAGCCGGAGGCTCTGGTACGCCATCTTCCCCACCGCCGCCTCCCCCCCCTACTTCCCCTTCCGCCAGTCAACCCCAGCGGCGGGGCGGGACCAAGGCGGGCTGCCGCCCAATCAGCACCGCGCACCCGGCCAGCCGCCAATCGCCAGAGCCGCAGGGAAAGCGCGCCGGCCAATCACGAGTTGCGCCTCCGCGGGGCCCAGCCCAGCCGCCCCACCCACCAGCCCACCAACGTCGGGGAGAGGCGTGTAAGTCCCGGGTCCCTCCGCCAATCCCCGCCGGCCACAGCTGGCTTTCCCGCCCGGCCCCTCCGCGTCTCCGAGCGAGGCGGCCCCGCGCAGCCAGCCAATCAGGAGCACGACGGCGTCCCGCCGGGGCCGTCGTTCGCTGAGGCCGGCGTCAGTCGGCGTCCGGGGAGCGGGCGGCGCCGCCTCTCCGCGGCAGCAGGCGGTGGTTTAAAGGCGGTGGCGGGAGGCCGGTGCGTGGCCGGTTTCGTCGCCCTGGCACCCGCTCGGGTAAGGGCCGCGGGGCTGCATCTCCTCCGCCGAGCAGCGGGGAGGGGCGCGTCTGCGCTCGGCACCCTCGCTGGGCGCCCGCCGGCCGGGCCGCGCGCCGCCTTCCCCGAGCTCCCGGCATGCCGCGGGGCCGCGGGGCCCGACGGGAGCGGGCGGCGCGCCGGAAGTGGTCCCCGCCCGGCGTGGCTGCCGCGGGCCTCCCGAAGGAGAGGGGTCGGCGTCGGGGGTGGGTGGGGGGAACCCGGGGAGGGGGAGACGCTGGGGAGCGGGAGACGCTGGAGAGGGGTAGTTGGGGGGAAGATACTCCGGGGAGGGGGAGGGAGTTGGGGGGGAGTACCCTGCGGAGGGGGGAGGTCCTGGCGGGAGCGCAGACAGCGTCTTTCCTTTTGAAGGAGCGGGAACATCACGGGGGAAGGAAGGTAGCTCGGTCCCGGCAGGCAAAGCGTCAGGCTTTATTCGCTTGGTTATGAGGAAGCACTTAAGGGCTTTGGAACAGGGAGTGACGTCAGGTGGCGGATACGGGAGGATCCGAGTAAAGGGCTGCGGAGAGCGGGCTTTAGCAGAGATGAGTGGGTACTTCTTCACGGAGGGAGAAACCCGAGGAGCCCCTGTGCAGGAGGAGGTGCCCGACTTCAGTAATCAGAGAGATCACGTTAAAATAGCCTTGCCTGGGGCACCTGCGACTCTGACTGTGGGGTTGTGAGTTAGAGCCCCACGCTGGGTGTAGAGATGACTTCAAAAAGTAAAGTGCTGTCTGCTCCCCAAATGTCACGCTCACAACCTGTTGATGGAGTGCTGAGTGTATTGCTTGCCAGTCTCTCAGAGGGATGAAGGGCGAGATGGGACGTGTTTGAGAATCGCAAGTGTGGACTGAGCTGAATCTTCCCATTTGTGGGGCTTCATTAGGATTGGGTGGGGGTCCTGCACTCACAGTCCAGGATTGGTAGAAGCAGGTGAGGCAAGGGCTTCAGAATCTTACCGTACATATTATGGATTCTTCCCATTGAAGAGTTGATTCCGTTGAACAGTGAAAATATTCCGGTCTCCCAGAATAAGAAAGTCATGCTAATGTAAACAGTAGGTTAGGTGGGATGGGGAGAGTGTAGGTTCAGCCCTCGGTGTCCAGCCTGTGTGTGGGGTACATACATGGTTTTGGTTTTCTTTCTTCCTTTTTTTTTTATAAATAAGTTCTCATAACTTAATTTTTTTTAAGAGAGTGCCTGAGCGCATGAAGGTTGGGGGGCAGGGACAGAGGAAGAGAGAGAATATCTTAAGAAGGCTCCACACTGGGTGGGGCTTGATGTCAGGACCCTGAGGTCATGACCTGAGCCGAGAAGCGAAGAGTTGGACACTTAACTGACTCAGCCACCCAGGAGCCCTGGTTTTGGTTTTCAAAAAGCAACACACTAAAACAATTTTAACACCTACCAGACTAGCAAAAATTAGAATGTTGGATAATATCAAGTGTTGATAAAGACATGAGAAATTTTCATATACTGCAAGGGGGAGTGTCAGTCTAACCTGCCTCCCCCTCCCCCCAAGAACATTTCGCAGTGTTTAGTGAAAAGTCATGTATGAGTAAGCTGCGTGGCTCAGCAATTACTTGCCAATGTGAAAAGCCTGCAAGTCCCTGAGGAGACATTATGGGAGGGTGTTCATTACGACATTGTATCTGGTAGCAAGGTGCTGACAGCAAACCAGGTGTCTGTCACAAGAATGGGCCTGCCGAGCGTGGCGTATGCATGTGATAAAGTTGATGGAGTACTTCAGTCAAAAGCAATGACATAAGATAACATGAAGTGATTGCAAACATTAAGAAAAAATGTAAACATCTGCATACAAAACTTTTTCAGGAACATCTAAAACGGGCACTGGGGTGGCTCAGGTAGTTAAGAGCTGCCTTCAGCTCTGGTCATGATTCCAGGGTCCTGGGATTGAGCCCCGCGTCGGGCTCTCCCTCTCCCTCTGCCTGCCACTCTGGGCGCGCTCTCTGTCTCTCTGTCAAATAAATAGATAAATAAATTCTTAAAAAGAAAGACTACCTAAAACCTATCCGAGGTGAATTAAAGATGGATTGAAAAGGCACATGTTAAAACACTAGAGTGGGTTCCTATGGGAGATGAAAGATGGGAGAATAAGAAAGGACCAGAAATAGAGTGCCCTGAAATAGGAAGTATCAACTCAGCGCTGTACAGCCTTGCTCCTTAAACAGGAAGACGGAGTGTTTGTTGATGAAGGCCCATGTAAGCCCTGTTGAAAGAGTTTGAACTTGATCCTGAAGGAAGGCATAGGGGAGTGGGAGGAAATGAAAATAGGTGAGTACGTGAAGGGGAGTTGGAAGAATAGCATATAAGGTTGTGGTCAAGAGGTAGGAGCACTTGGGGAGAGGTTACAAATAGCGGTGGCCGGGTGGCTGTGAGAACAGAGACAAGGGCCTTTGAAACTCAAGAAACCGCATCTCTTGGGCCTTGCTTAGGTCCTCCATCCAAACGTGAAGGCGGTCCAGGATGATAGCAGAGTTCAGGAGACTGAGCCCTGGGCCAGAGCCCTCTTTAATGAGAAGTGAGGGAAAGAGCCTCAGAGAGCCAAGGGTTTGTATCCTGTTGTGGACGAGGAGGGCTGCAGGTAGCATCGGGCATCAGGAAACACACCCTCCTTGAGTTGTGTTCGCCTGCTTCCTGGCTCTCTGGAATAGGATTTGTCACTTTAATCAGATGATCTCTTATCCAAATGAATTTTTTTCTTTTTACGTTGGCAGATTTTTTCCAGTCAAAATAACCACGCAAAGTAAGCGAAGATGTCCGTGGATCCAATGACCTACGAGGCCCAGTTCTTTGGCTTCACGCCACAAACCTGCATGCTGAGGATCTACATCGCATTTCAGGACTACTTGTTTGAGGTGATGCAGGCCGTCGAGCAGGTTATTCTGAAGAAGCTGGATGATATCCCGGGCTGTGAGATTAGCCCCGTCCAGATTCGTAAATGCACAGAGAAGTTTCTTGGCTTCATGAAAGGACGTTTCGATAACCTTTTTGGCAAAATGGAGCAGCTGTTTTTACAGTTGATCCTGCGTATTCCCCCAAACATCTTGCTTCCAGAAGATAAGCCTCAGGAGATGCATCCCTGTACTGAGGAAGAATTCCATCTTCTCCAGAAAGAAGTCGAACAGCTACAAGAGAAGTATAAGACTGAATTATGCACTAAGCAGGCCCTTCTCGCAGAATTAGAGGAACAAAAAATTGTTCAGGCCAAACTTAAGCAGACGTTGGCTTTGTTTGATGAGCTTGAAAATGCCGGCAGAGATCATGGGACTAGTGATTTTAGGGAGAGCTTGGTGTTCCTGGTCCAGAACTCCAGAAAACTCCAGACTATTAGGGACAGTGTGGAACGGGAAGGCAAAAGAATGAAAATATCTTAATTTCTAAGTGGTAACAGGAGCTCTTTAGGAAGTAGAATAGTAAGGATTTATATCAGTGGTATTCTAGTGAACTGTACCTCTTACGGGATTTCCTTTGTTTGCTCTTTCCTGTACTCCATGCCTCCCTCTGTCTTGGTCCACTCTGCTGAGATAGCTCTGCGCCGCCCTGGACTAATCTCTGGAGCATCTGTTCCCTAGAGACCTTTCGTCAGCGGGAAAGGATTCCTGGTCCAGCAACAATATCCTGGGGGCCATGACTGAAGAGGCTGGGCTCTCCCTGGCTCTCCCTCCCAGAGATGTTTGTAAAGCTGTTCCTTGGTCCTCTGTAACTTGGTCCTTTCGACTTATTCTTTGGATGCAATCAAATGAGAAAAAGGTGCAGTGGGTGGCTTCGTTACGAACCAGCCACTGCCCCCCTGGTCTCGTCCACTAGCGTGTCTTGCGCGGGGATGTCAGCCGAGGGAAAGAAGCAAGTAGAACGACACCCGTGATCTTCGGGAAAGAGCAAACAAGTTGTTTTCGTTCCTAAACTAGAACCTTTTTGTGACTGGCCTCAGTAACGTGGAGTGGTCTGCCGTCTGGGAGCCCAGCAGGGGAAGACCGTGGGCAAAGAAGAGGCAGATCTCGCTGGGGTAGAAAGGGAAGCCCGGAACAGAGCCAAGAGCAGAGTTGATGAACTGACTGCTAGGCATTTATATCATTTTTTTCATACTTAAGTTAGTTTTGGAATCTGCCCTGTACCTAATATTTTTTAAATTATTTATTCATATTCCTAAGCATCAAATATTTAGTACCCACAGTGGGGAAATTTTAGCTGTCTTGTGCTTAAATTTAGTGGAGTCTAATACTTGTTTTCTTCTGAAATTAATCCATGTGACATGTGTCACCCAGAGAAAGAGCATGAATAGCAGTTGGTGCTCTTAGGGCGTTTCCCTCCATGTCTTCCTTAAAGAACAGGATTTGGAGTTTCTCCTTTATGTAGAAGAGTAACTTGGGACATTAATGTTTGCAATTAAATATTCATAGATTTAAGATGCCTGTGTTTCCCTGGAATATGTTTATCAACAAAGAGTCTTTTTTCCAATCCTGTACATGAAATACATACATGAAAGGCTTTGGTTTTAGATTTTCTATTATTTGAGTAACCTCAGCACCCAAGGTGGGGCTTGAACTCATGACCCCAAGACCAAGACTCCCATGCCCCACCGACTGAGCCAACGAGGCTCCCCATGTTTGTAGCTTATTTAAAATCTCATATGGGGCGCCTGGGTGGCTCAGTCCTTAAGCGTCTGCCTTCGGCTCAGGTCATGGTCCCAGGGTCCTGGGATCGAGCATTGGGCTCCCTGCTCCGCGGGAAGCCTGCTTCTCCCTCTCCCGCTCCCCCTGCTTGCGTTCCCTCTCTCGCTGTGTCTCTGTCAAATAAATAAATAAAATCGTAAAAAAAAAAAATCTCATATAGAGGGGCGCCTGGGTGGCTCAGTTGGTAAGTGTCCAACTCGATTTCGACTCAGATCATGATCTCACAGTCGTGGGATCCAGCCCTGTGTTGGGCTCAGCGCTCAGTGTGGAGTCTGCCTGAAGATTCCTCCTCCCCCTGCTCCTGTGTCTGTGCATGGTCTCTCTCTCTCTCAAATAAATCTTAAAAAAAAAAATAGAGAGGGTTAAATGGTGATTCCCCCAGAGGCATGTCTTTGTCCTGATTCCCGGAACCAGCCCTTATTTGGAAAAGATGGTCTTTTGCAGGAATAATTAAGGATCTAGAGATCAGGGGAGCATCCTGAATTACCTGGGTGGGCCCTAAATCCAGTGGCCGGTGTCTTCACTAGAGAAAGGCAGAGGGAGATGGGAGACAGGAGAGGAGAAGGCAGGGTGACCGCAGAGGCAGGTGGGAGTGACGGGGCCACGCGCCAGCAACACCAGCAGCCACCACCAGCTGGAAGAGAAAGACAAGTTTCCTCCCTGGCGCCTCCGGGGGAGTGTGACACCCTCCCCTGGATGTCTGGGCTCCAGAGCAGCGGGGAGAATGGATTTCTGTTCTTTCAAGTCACTACGTTTGTTACATGTTAACTAATAGACCTGATTAAGCTAGGATATTAGCGTATTCACACTCAGAAGGAGGTAGGTTGCTTACTAAGGAAGCAACAGCCCACATCTAGTTGTCCTCATAGATGCCATAATACGATTTGTCTGAATGCACTTAAAATAGGGTCGTGATCTGGACAGAAGGGTGAAGTCCACTGTGTTTAGAACTCAGGAGTTCAGGGGCGCCGGGGTGTCACGGTTAAGCGTGCGACTCCTGATTTCAGCTCCGGTCTTGATCTCAGGGTCGTGAGTTCGAGCCCCACGTCAGGCCCCACACCCAGCTTAAGAAAACAAAAACCAAGACACTCAGGAGTTCATTGCGTGTTGAGTGAGTGCTTAGTAACTGGTGGGTATTGATACTGTTTGTCATCGTAGTGTCTCAGCAGGAATAAATTCAGCTACTTGGCCCCATTATCCTCTGATAATTAAATTCCTCGCTCAAAAATTCAGAAATAAGTCAGGATAACAAGCCCCAAGTTACCCCCTCATGGCCCTGTTCCCATCCAGCATCTGTCTTGCCGCGTTTCCTACTCCCCTCTACATTAGAGCCTCTGACTGTAATACCAAGCTTCGGTTTCCCCAGATGCCAAAGTCCCACAGTTCTCCCTCACTGTCCCGCCCGGCGGTCGACCCTCCAGCTCCTCAGTTATTCCCCACCAAGTCTAGCCCCCCTCACCGCCCCCGCTCTGTCCACAGATTTTTACAGAGCGAGGGGACATGCAGAGGGCATTGTAGTGAGATCAGAGGGTTCACACGCTCCTCAAAGAACTGGCATCCACCTTCGTTGACAGCTAGCCTTGAAGGAGATCTTGTGGCACTGTTCATGCATCAGGAAGGGGAAGGACTCTGTCATCTCTAAGAGATTCGAGGGAGGCCAGAACAGACCTACCCCCATCCTGCCCTTGGTGGGCATTTCTAAGGTCTCTATATTCATCTCCAAGGGACCTGGAACACTAAGCCTCAAGAGAGGTCATCATCGCTTGAACATGAACAAGATGGAGGGCCAGCGATGGAGTCCGAATTGTCAGCACTCCTACCACTACCAACCTTCTAGAAATAGAAGGGATTATAGGGTACCACTGTATAAGAGGTTCTGCACTCAGTCCCTATGAGTGTGTGCGGGAGGTGGGGGGTTTGGGGGGAGGTTCTCCATACCACCTGCAGGTCCTGCAAGTCAACTCAATTCTGACCCAGTGTACTCAGCGATAACATCAGATTCACCAGGTCAGGGGCTCGGTCCAAGACAGCTGCGCTGCTATTCAGATCCCAGTCGCAAGTCCTGGTTGCTCACCTGGGCTTCTGACCACCTGGCTGTCAATCACGGGTTCCCATGACCCCTTCTTTGGGCTCCATTATTTTGCTAGAGAGGCTCATAGACCTCAGGAGATCTGTTTACCCATTAGACTATGGGTTTACTTCAAAGGATACATGAATCAAAGCCAGATGAAGAGATACATAGGGTGAGGCCCCAAACAAGGGAGTTTTAGCCCCCATAGGTTTGGGCCCAGCATGGCGGTACGAGGGAGCTTTCCAAACCCCCTCCTTTTGAGGCTTCATCACATACATCGTCGGCCATTGGTGTTCGAAGTTGGGTCCCTACCTCACGCCTTGTACGAAAATGAACCCCAAACAGATCAAAGATCTGAATGTAAATGCTGAAACTATGGAAATGCTTGGGAGAAAACCCAGGTTTAACTCTTCCTGACCTTGAACTAGGCAGGAGCTTCTTAGACATGGCACCCAAAACACAAGCAGCAAAAGGAAAAAATAGATAAACGACATCATCAAGATGAAAAAAACTCTTGGTACATCAAAGACACCGTCACAAAAGTTAAAAGGCAAACCATGGGAGAAACATTTTGCAAATAATATCTGATAATGGACTTTATTCAGAATACATGAAGAACTCATAGAATTCAAGACAAATGGCCCAATTTTATTTATTCAATTTTTTTTGCATGGTTTTTAAAGTAATCTCTACACCCAACATGAGGCTCAAACTCATAACCCCTGATCAAGAGTCGCACGCTCCACTGATTGATCCAGTTAGGTGCCCCCCACCTTTTTTTTTTTTTTTTGCCGTTTTTCAAGTGATCTGATATAAAAAACGGGTAGAGGATCTGAATAGATGTTTCTTCAAAGGTAGACACTCGGCTGGTAAGCTCAGGAAAAGCTGCTTGATGTCCTCGCCATCAGGGAAATGCAAATGAAAGACACAAAGAGATTCCACTTCATACACGCTAAGGCTATGACTTAAAAAAGAAAAATATAAGTTTTGTCAACGAGGCAGAGAACTTGGAACCCTCCTACAATTCTGGTGAGAATGTACAATGGTGCAGCCAATTTGGGAAACAGTCTAGCGGTTTCCATATGAGTCAGCAATTTCACTCTTAGAGAAAAGAAAACACGTGTCCACACTCACATTGTACGTGAATGTCCACAGCAGCATTATTCACAGTAACCACAAAGGGGAAACAACCCAAATGAACGCAACTACTGGATGGATACGTAAAATGTGGTATATCCAGACAATGGGATATTGCTTAGCAATAGAAATGAAGCATTACGAGATGAACCATGAGAGACAATGGACTCTGAGAAACAAACTGAGGGTTCTAGAGGGGAGGGGGGTGGGGGGATGGGTTAGCCTGGTGATAGGTATTAAAGAGGGCACGTTCTGCATGGAGCACTGGGTGTTATACGCAAACAATGAATCATGGAACACTACATCAAACACTAAAGATGTAATGTATGGTGATTAACATAACATAATAAAAAAAAAGAAAAAAAAAAAGAAATGAAGCATTACTACATGCTGCAACAGAGATGAGCCTTGAAAACGTCGTGCTAAGTGAAAGGAGCCAGTCACAAAGGACCCCGTACTGTATGATTCCATTTATAGGAAATGTGCAGACCAGGCAAATCCATAGAGACAGGAAGTCGATTAGTGGTTGCCTAGGGATGGGGGCTGGGTGGGACGTTGGAGGGAGATGGGTAAGGGGTGAAGGGTTTCCTTTCAGGGTAATGAAATATCCTAATATTGATTATGGTGATGGTCGTGCAACTCTGTGAATATACTAAATGCATGAGTTCTGCGGCATGTGAATTGTATCTCAATGATGCTGGTAAAAATAATAAGAGTACACACTCCAGAAACAATGCCTGGGTTCATCTAGCGCCTTCACTGGTCTTGCGACCTTGGCCAAATCACTTCCCCTATGTCTGTTTCCTCATCTGCAAAATGGGGAAAATAAAAGAAACTCCTCACAGGCTTGAGAGCCTTCAAGCCACATAAGACATCCAGCCTGTCACACCCTAAGTTCCCTTATTAACACAGTGGGCTCCATGAAGGTAAGGGTTGTATCTGTCTTGCTAATGACTATCTCCAGTGCTAGATACCCAAGAAAAAGTGAAACACTTACAAAATTGCTCCATTTATTCTCCCAGCTTGAGGTTCCACTGTCCCACACAGCTAAATTCCAACTGTGTCCCCCAACATAAACTTCCTGCTGTCCCATGGTATCCAGAAACCACTGTTCGTTTCACTGCCTCCGTATACTTACCCACTCCTGACAGCTCAATGTGCAATAGGACAAGTTGCCCAGAATAGTCGTCTCTCCTGCCATCATCATTTGGGATCTGCTGAGAGTCACTTTACTGGATGTCTTGTTATTTTTGTCTGCTCACCCTCTATGGTCATGGTGACCAGTTTTCCTTTGGGAAACCTTCTTTCCCATTGCATCCTTTCTTCCTGGGGACTGTGTATCAAGTTCTCTCTTCTGCCTTCCGGCCAAAGGTGGGCACGTGACCCTAGCCAGGTTGGTGAGACACTCTCTAGAATTTAATTCTTGAGCAACATGGCCAAAGGACCCCCAAAATGGGCCCATTTGTTTTTTACGGTTGAACCCTGAAAAGACAGTCCATTAGTACTTGACTGGAGCGGCTGGGTATTTTGGACAAGGGAGCCTTTTATTTGAAGCCCAGAAGTTGGAGGACAATTGAGAGAGCTCCATCTAGGGAAGCAGTAACTGAAATTAGGTGGGCGGTGGAGGGCATATGGGACAAAATGTCATGGGATATTTGAACTATGTAAGAGGAAAATTGGCCAGGCCACGCATAAAGGGGCACTGAAGGTACACATGGATGGTGGGAGAATAGTAGAATTTTAATATTTAACAGTAGAAATTTAATATTAGAAAATGTGGGTTAAGCTCCTGCTGGAGCCCAGTGGAATCAGGAATTTTGAGATATGGGAAGTTTCAGGTGTTTCAGGAATTTCAGGGTATGGGGGGAAGTAAGGGTTAATAGAGGAGAATATGGATGTATGGGAAGAAAGCAATTCATTCTGGGGATGGCGGGAGCTTAGTACTGAGGACAGCAGTGATGTGGAGAATGTTGGGGAAGGCTGGAGCACCATATCGGAGAGGCAGTGATAATCCTAGTTTTGGGGGAACCGCACAATGAATCCTGAAATGAGGGGATCACATGGGACTGGACATTTAGGGGAATATTGGAGCCCATGTTCAGACTGTAGAGGCAAGAGGATTTAATTACAATATAGTCTCATAGGAACTGGATATGGGAATTTGGGGTAGAAATTGGAGGCATATGTTGAGAACAGGGAACTCAGGTTCTGGGAATGGGGGGAGAAGTTACTCTCAGGGGATTAGTGGAGGGGAGAATATTGGGGGATCATATCCTGAGTAGTCCCTGAAGGACTGTCTAATGAGGGGTTCTAGGAGATGTACGAATGGAAAGCAATGGGACTGTCTGGAGAACACGGAGCTACGTATTGGAACTCAGTGGTTAGTCAATATTAAAAGTCGGTAGGATATGCAATATCCAAGACTGAAGGCTGGAAAACCGGTGAGAGGTACCTATCGCGGGTACCTTGGAGACTTAATTTTGGGGAATTGTGCCACTAATTATTGGGGGGGTGGCATCATTGTAATAAATCATGGGTGTACAGCGCAGGCTGATGTCAGGGAACAGTGGGTACTGAATTTGCAGCACGGCAATGAAATGCAGAGGGGCAAGATGCTAAGCCCTGCGGTGATGCGGGATCACGGGAACACAGAACTGGGAAGCGATAAAGCTCTGATATTGGAATATGCTGAGCTTATAAAGACACAAGCTGGGTAAATCGGGGTGGGGGGGCAGATTCTAGAGCTTAGTGGGGGGGGACCGTACTGGGGCAGAAGTGTCTTGATAATGGAAGCAGGTGGGGATTGAATCTGGGAGGCAGCAGGTGAAGCCACAGGGGACAGTCACGGACCTGCAGTGAGGGGAACAGAACGTTCCCAGAACATTCCTGGGAACCGGATATGGAGAAAGATGCCACAGAGAGGCAGGCATGGCTATTTAGTGGAGGGAGAAGCTGCACCTGGGAACGCTGGTCATAGGACACACCTGTTTGGGAGGAATGGCAGGGATGCTCCAAGGATTATGGGGTGAAACCAGGCAGACTGGGAAGCTTGGAGGGCACACTGCTTGGCTCTAAATTAAGTGAGAACTCAGTATACATGGGACTGAAAAAGGGATTTATTTCATCAGAGGTAAGACAGACATTTCCAGATAACATAGTAGAGCGCTGAGTTGATGATATTTAACATTCATGAGTAAAAAAGGAGATGGCAGGTGGGTGAGTAACCCGCAAGGTAGGTGGGTTTCAGTGTTAGGGCTCTGGGTCTGGGATGACAACCCCGATGGAATTCTTGCTAATGACAAATACCCCACGCCCTGGTCTTGGGTCCCATTGCTGCGGCAGCGCTCAGGGCCAGCATGAAGCCGCCAGACACGCAGAGAGAGCCCTCCCGCGCACCCCAGCCCAGCCGGGGCCCCCGAGTCTCATCCTGCGCAGCGCGCGAGCTAGGGCCCGCGTCCCGGGAGGTCTGCAGCCGCGCGTCCCACGCCGTCCAGGACGCGACGACAGCGTGGCCTCCTGCCAGGACAGCCCCTCCAGCTGTGGGTCTCGGCCCGGTAGCGGCCGCAAAGCCTAAGGCAGGAACAACGCACAGTCCGGGTCAGCTCAAGCCCCTCGGGACGCGGTGGCGCGCCACCCCGACGATCGCCACTCACCGTGTCCCGCGCTCCGGCGGCGCCCGCGGGGCGCTCAGGTCCGCCAGCTCCGGGGGGCCTGGCTGGTGCTCCGGGGGGCGATGCAGCATCACAGGGCTCCGGCCCGGCTGGCCCAGGGCGCCGACCCTCCGTTCCCGCGGGGCCCTCTCCGGAAGCTCGTCCCTTAAGGAACCCAAGGTTGGGCTTGCTGCGCGTGCTCCCACCTGATGAGGAGTAGGGTCCAGGGACACGATCCTAATCGTGAGCCGCACCCCGCTGCTCTAAACGCCGGGAGATGACCGCCCCTTCCCCTAATCTCAGGGGCAAGCAGACCCTTATTTCTTTTCTGGCAGCAGCTCCGGACATGTCTCCAGATGGGCAGGGACACAAAGGCAGTAACGTGCACAGGACAATAGAGCAAGCATCAGAAGCTAGAAGAAGGGGGTGCAGCGCGTCTCCCGCACACGCCACGCCGAGCCCCTGGTTTCCCTTCCCGCCCCCCGGGGCCCCGCGGCCCCGACCCCGGCCGCTCAGGCCAGCTGCAGGTGGATGTAGGTGAAGATGCAGGAGGTGATGGAGAAGGCGATGGCCGCGTAGATAAAGACGGAGAGGTGTGGGAAATGGTCGAGGTAGCAGCCCTCGTCCCGGGGGGGCTCCTCCTCCTCGGGCTGGGGGCGCACCGCGGCCTTGGGGGGCTGCCCGGCGCGTGCCCCCTGCGCCCTCCCGCCCGCGCGCCGACCGGCCCTCCTGCCAGCCGCCGCCGCCCTGGGTGCGCGGGCCGCTGGGGGCTCTTCCGGGGGGGGCTCGTCGAACAGGCCCCCGTAGTGGTCGGCGGGATCCGAGCGGGTGGGCGCGGGGGCCCAGCGCTGGCGCGGGAAGAGCGGGGCCGCCATGGGCGAGGAGCTCGCGGGGTCGCGGGCGGGAACGCGGTGGGCGACGGCCGGGCTGCGCGGCGGCTCTGTCCGCGGAGGGGCGGGGACCGCTCGGCCGCGCACCTCCCCCGGCTCCGCCCCGCGCCCCGCCCGCTCCCGGGACCCGCGCTCCGGCCCGCCGCCTGTTCCCATGGCAACCCGGCGCGGGGCACGCGGCGCGGGAACTGGGGTGCGAGCTGCGGGCGGGGACCCCGGGCGCCAGGAGGGGGCTCGGCGCCGGCCAGGACCCCAGCGGCGCGCGGAGCTTCACCGGGGACGCTTTTGTCTTTTTAAAAGAAATATTTATTATGGGTCTTTCTGTTTTTGTTTTTTTTTTCATCTACAATTTAATACATGAAAAAACAAATGCATAATCTTTGCAGAAAACTTGACAGTTAGAAAGCCCCGTCGGCAAGAACAGGAACAGAACAAGTGCTGCCACCACTACCCCAAGGCCCAGAGATAGATGGTGCCTTTCCTTCCTTCTTCCTTTTACCCTCTCCCTACGGCTACATTGGTATCTGGGCTTTCCCCTAGAGCTCCTCGCCCCCAACCCAGGACCCCAGCCCCGTGGGCGGCTCACGTTTGAGTAGGAACAGGTACTTTTTCCCCGCCCCCCTACTCAGCACCGCGCCCCCCGCACCCCCCAGGCCTTTCTCTGGCTTCCACTGGTACCGCCACAGACTTGGGGCACCGAGGTTGCAAGGCCGTTGGTGTTCCCCTGTGGAATGTGGGGAGAACAGCCACTAGGACTTTTGGGGTCCCAGGGAATCTGGCAGGCCCCGCCAGTTGCAGCAGATCCAACTCAGGCTGTCATCAAGGAACTCATGGCCTCCTGTAAGGGAAAGGCCCTGGGGGAAACCAGGACGAGGGTGCAGAAGCAATGTCACCAGGATGCTGTGTCTCCTTCCACCTCCCGGTGTTGCCAGGGATTTCTTGCAGGGCCAGAGCCCACATAGTGGCAGGTGCTCAGATATAGTATTTGTTGAATGAGTAATTCGAGGGGTGAATGGCGGTTGGCAGCCACAGACTCGCACCTCACAGCCTACCGCCCCCACCCAGCTCCCGGAGCTTCCAGTCCGCTAGCAGGTGGAGAAGGGGCAACCCTCCAACACTGCCGCTGGGAATGTAAAAAGGCACGGTGGCTTTGGAAAAACAGGTCGGCAGTTTCATAAAAAGTTCAACATACACCTGCCATATCAGGAATTCCACTCCCAGGCGTCTATCCACAGGAAATGAAGACAGGCTTTCATATGAAAACAGGGACTCGTCCATGGATGTCCATAGCAGGGTTATTGGTAATAGTGCCAGACTGGAAACAATGCAAATGTTCTTCGAATGTTAAATGGATAATCAAAATGTGGCTTATTTGTGCAATGGGATAATATTTCACAATAAAAAGAAGTGAACTGGATGTGGGTGAACCTCACAAACGTTCCGTTAAGTGGAGAAAAGCCAGGTGCACAAGACCACAGACTGTATGATCCCACTTACAGGAAATATCCAGAAGAGACACATTTATTTACAGAGACAGAACGCAGATGGATGATTGCTGGGGCTGGAGAGGGAGGTGGGGAGGCGAGGAACTGCAGACAGGCTCAGGGCAACTTTTTAGAGGGATAGACATGTTCTCAACCCCAGTGGTGGTAATGGTTGAGCAGCTCTTTAATTTTTCTAAAATTCATCAATGTGTCCACTTAACATGGATGACTCTCATGACATGTGAATTATACTTCAAAAGGCCATTGTTTTTTAAAAAGAAACCTGAGTTATCATTTCTCAGATACCAGATGGGCAAAACAAAACAAAACAAAAACCATGCATTTTATTTGCAATTCCGTGGGTCGGTTGGGTTCTCCTGGTTTGAGTTGATTTGGCTGATCTCTACTGGATTTTGTCATTTGTCTGGCAGGTCGGCTGAGGCTGGATGATCTAGGATGACCTCACGCCCATGTCCGGAGGTGGGCAAGCCGTTGGTCAGGTGACTTAGTTCTCCAGCAGGCTAGCTTGAGCTTATGCATGTGGTGGTCTCAGGGTTCCAAACACAGAAACAGGGAACCCTATAGAGCACAATGACTGTTCCAGTCTCTGCTTGTGCTATATTTGCTGTCCCACTGGCCAAAGCAAATCACATGGCCAAATCCAGATTCAAAGTCTATGCAAAGCCACACTGCAAAGTGAGGGGCAGAATTAGTGACCACTTTTTTTTGCAAGCTGCTATAGAGAAAAAGAGAGTTAAGCCACTTCTCTATGGTTATGTGGCTAGTGAGTTGCAGAGCTAGGATTCTGGGGCTCACGCTTTTACCCACTATGCCATTCACTGAGGGGTGTCTGCAAGGCGTGGTGCTTGAATATGGTGTGTGAGATGGAGAGGGGTCGGATATGTAGCCAGAAAGGAGGTTAGACTTTATGGAGAGGCACTAGAAATCCATTGGAAGATTTAACTGAGTGGCATTTTGGAAAGCTCACTCTGGCCATGGTTTGGATGCTGGACATCAGGTGGAGGGTTGGGGGCAGAATGGCCGATGAGGACTTCATTGCATTAGACCAGGTTAGAGGTGAAAAGAGGTTGAAGTGGCAGAGGGGGTGTACAAAAGAGGACAGAGTCAAAGGACATTTCGGAGCTAAAATGGGACTTTGCTGATAAGTGACGGGAGGGGTGGGGAAGAGGTGGGGGGCACTGAACTTTCCCCAGTAGATCTAGAGGAAGATGATGAGTTACCGTGCGGCCGGGTTGGCTCTGGGGTCCTTATGGGAGAAATGGGGGGAAACGTCCCTTTGCCAAAAGCATCCTCAGGTGCAAGGTGCAAGCTGGCAATCCAGATTTGGGGATTACTGGCATGGAGGGGATGGGTGAAGCCTCAGGCATAGATAAAATTGCCCAGAAGAGTAGGAAGAGACGAGGCTTTGCAGAGCATCCCGAGGACCGCCAACCCCTGACGGTTGTGTTTTAGAGAAAAATATAAGCAGGACGCCAAATGGAAGATTTCACAGATATTACTGTTTAGGACAAGTCTAAAAATTTTCAAGTGAGTTACAGTTAAAGAAAAAAAATTACACGGGGCGCCTGGCTGGCTCAGTCTGTGGAGCACGTCACTCCTGATCTCGGGGTTGTGAGTCTGAGCTCCACGTTGTGTGTAGAGATGACTTAAAAATAAAATCTTAAAAAAAATTAAGTAATGAAACTCTTTGGATGGTTCACAGACATGACAAAAATCAACAAGTCAGATGAGGAAATGCTTGGAATTTAGGTAATGCCTGGAAAACGTATGTGAACGAGCTCTTAAGCCAAGCTGTATAGCTCTTTGTAAACATCTCTCTTCCTGAAGACCGTGGTGAGTTCCAGGGGAATCGGGGGGGGGGGGTTTAACTCCCCCATGAACTCTACCAGCCCCCCGCTCTTTGATATGGGCAGTAGGTGTTTGCTCAGTTTTATTTAAAGCGTTATGTTACACAAACAGCTCCAAGTCCCCCTACCCACCTCCTTCCAACTGGATTTATTGCTTCGAAGCCCCTTCGTTATTGGGGAAAGGCTCAGGAGCAGGAGGGAGGCTTGGGGAGCAGGCCCTGCAAGGACTTCCAGGGAGGGGGGGCAGGGGCAGGGGGGAGTGGAGGTACCGGAAATGCCCCTGCAGGGGTCCATTGCCTATTAAGAAGGTGTGAGGCTGAACAACAAAGACAGGGTCCCCCTAGGACGCCTTGCTGTGTGCCACCTGGTTCACCCGTACACAAAAGCCCACAGTGCAAAACAACTCTGGTCGCAGCCCAGGGGATTCCTGGGGGCTCCATCTCTCAGAGTTGGGAGAGCTCGGCCAGCTGGGTGGGCTCACGTTCGCAGAGGCTCTGGCTGTCCCTGGTGATGAGGGAGCGCCCGGATCCCAGAGCCCAAATCCACCAAAGGACCCACATGGACAAAAGGCTGCCCTTCCCTCCTGCTTCTGGGATGGGCCCAGAGCACCCACCCCTCTCCGAGGTGAGAGAGCCCGCCTCTTCCCAGAATCTCTGCTCCCGGGCTGAGATGGTGGGTCTCCTTCATCCATTTAGGGGGACCTGCCTGTGGAGAAAGGGTACACAGATCAGGGATCTGAGTCTGTGCCGCCAAAGGTCATAGGCCTATGTTGAGGATGCCCCACGCCCCATGGGGAGTCCCAGGACACAGGTCCCAAAACGAATACTAACAGCAACTAGGAACAGCTCTGGGCCTTCAGAGATGGTGCACTTGGTTTTCATGACCCTATGAGTCATGCACCAGTATTTTCTCCAGAAATGGGTAAACTGAGGCTCGAGGGGTGGAGGAACTTGTCTGGGGTCTGCCTCTGGGTTCCAGCCAGGAGCCCGCTGCCTCCCACCCAGCTCACACCAGGTCCTGCCACAGCCTTTTCCCAGGGCCACACCCTGCAGACAGACAGGGCTGTTCTTCAGAATCTGCACACAAGGCAAGAGGCAAAACTCAAGACCACTTTGAGCTCACGATGCTCGCACCCAGCTGAGGAAACAAGCTTTGGTGGTTGAGTGTGTGTGGGTGTGGGGGGGTGCGGAGGTAGGGGGAATGTAGGGTGGGGGAGAGTACAGGGTAGAGGAGGGGGGAGCCCAGGATGGCTGGGGAGCTGGTTGGGGTGTTTGGGGGGTGCTCAGGGTGGAGGGAGCATGGGGTGGGCGGGAGCACTGGATGGAGGTGGGGGGCTGGGGGGTGCAGGGTGGTGATGAGTGTGGGGGGTGGGGAAAGGGGTTTTGTGGGGGGGGTGCAGGATGGGAGGAGCATATGGTGGGGGAGAACGCAGGGTGGGGGCGGGGAGCGGGGGAGGGGGCCTTACAGGAACGCTGCTGTTTGTCATCCTGGAAACCGTGAGCGTGTCTGAGCCGACTGTGGATTCTCCCTCCTGCGGGCCCAGCTGGCTGGGAACTGGGAAACCAAACCAGGCATCTCTTCTCCTCATGGGCTCCCCCCCACAGCCCACAGAAGACAGAAAATCTCACAGTGTATTGTGCCCGCCCCCCTCCCCCGCAAGGGAATGTCCTTGGGCCAGGAGTGGGGGAGGGGCTGTCACCCACTGAATGTAGCAGGGCACTTTCCCCTAAGGCTCAGACCCTGTGCCATGCCCTGCTCTAGGACTGCACAGGTGCTGTGCCCCCCCCACTGATGGTGGAGGGCAGTGGGGTTGCTGAGCAGGCGCAGAGTAATCCCAGGCTGTATGGGGACAGGGGAGCGGGTGGCCAAGAACCCACCTAGGGGGTGCAGGACCCCATGTGAGCTGAGGCTCTAAGCCTCCCTGCTTCCCCACCCCGCACTTCCTCCCTTGCTCCCGCTCCGTTGTCCCATGCACTTCACTCCCAAAACACAAAGACAAAATTACTAAGGATTTCAAGCCAGGGACCAAGCATGGAGCCCCAAGTGGGGGGGCATGTGCAAGCGACCCATGATGCTGGCCCCCCTCACACCCTGCCTGGCCCTTGATGTCCACTGTGGGAGCCCACGTGGTTACTAACTCTCCGTGCTGGGGTTTCTCACCCTAGACAGGACTCTGACTCGCAGCTTCTCTAAGGGCCCAGCGAGGGGTAGGTAGTGACCAAGACTCTTTCAACAAGTAGGTCCTGTGTCTCTTCTGGAGCCCTTGTGCTCCCAGCAGCTCACGAGAGCCTTCGTGCGTGGACCACCCAGCCAGCAGGGATGTTGGAGGACAGGGAGCCCCCAGGCCTCTGCTCAGGCCTGGCCAGGGAGTGAGGATGGAGTCGGTGGGCTTCCGGGCCAGAGCCTGAATCTGTCCTTTCCTTCCCTGCAAATGACCGTGAGCGCCAGGAACCCAAGGACCATGTGGGGTGTGGGGCCCTGGCCCCAAACCCTGCCACAGAAACACTTCTACTGTGTGATGCGTTACCTTGAATATTTCTGAGACCAGCCAAAGACAGCCCCAGGGCCGGGTCTTGGTGCCAATGATTCCTTGCCCAGCTACTCCCAAAGATCCTCTCCTTCAGATCAGGGCTTTCCAAGTACTTCTCTTTTTCTTTTCTTTCTTTTTTTTTAAAAGCTTTTATTTATTTATTTGAGAGAAACAAAGAGAGAGAGCATGAGCAGGGGAGAGGCAGAGGCAGAAGGAGAAGCAGACTCCTGGCTGAGCAGGGAGCCCGATGTGGGACTCGACCCCAGGACCCTGGGATCATGACCTGAACCGAAGGCAGACGCATCCCCGACTCAGCCACCCAGGCGCCCTTCCAAGTACTTTTCTGTCTTTCCCGTCCACAATCGATTGTCAACACAATGCACTCTCCAAGAGTTTGGGAGAGGTAAGAATCGCTCTATAGCCGGTGGGCTGGTTCAAGAGCACCTGGTAGTGACTCAGGAGATGCACAGGACATTCCTGAACTCAGTCGCGCCACAGACAGCCAGGTGTGTTGACGTTCCGGACGGGGGTGAGGCCCCCTGACCTAGAACTAACGTTAGTGCTGGGCGTGTGACTTTGGGCCAACCCTTTCTCTCCAGGATGTCTCCCCGTTAACAAGCGAAGGAATGGATAGTACAGTGGCAGGTGTTGAACGTTGTCAGTGCTGAGAACATGGAGGGTACCACCTCTGAGGGAAGCGACAGGGCAAGACCTAGAAAATCACGCGGATATTCACGTCCTGTGCTAGGATCCTCTCGCCCCTTAAACTATTGATTTAGAGACAAGGATCTAAGAATAAAGAAAAGTTCTCTGTAAAAAGATGTTTATTGCAGTATTGCTCATCATGGCAAAAAAATTGTTGGAAGCAAACTCAGTGTTGGAACAGGAGGATAGAGGGAATTCAGTGATGGTGCGCCCACTGGGTGGAACCCTGTGCAGTCTTCACGCAGAGGTCTTCTGAAGACTCTTGACGGGTCCTCGCAATGATGTAAATCAAAGTCGGAAAGGCAAGATTTAAAACCACATGGGCTAGGACGGCAACACGATGCGAATGTATTCCTGCAGAGAAAGGCTAGCACTGGGAAGGTGAAGATGATCCTTTTTGCATTGTTTGGATGGCGAGATCATGGGGTGACTGCTTTCTCCTTTTCCCAGACTTCATGTACCATTGTTATACTATTCTTTGAGCAACCAAAGCAATTACTAGATGAGAAAATCTAAGTAATGGACCAAGGGGCCGCTCTCAGGATTCACAATGCCCTGCGATGGATGTTCTGATCAGTGCCCACACAGACTGAGGACCTCCCCCAACTGTCTGGATGGCCCCACGTTGCCTAGCAACCACCTGCTCAGCAACAGTTGCTAGGAAACCAGGGACAGAGCCAGGACTCCTGACTAATGCCAGTCTCTTCCCATCAAGGACCCTCGAGTCATGCTCCCATCCGGGCATATTCTTCCTCCTCCCCTGCTCTCCAAGTTCCCCACCTTGCTGGGGCTCACTTGCCCCGGCATTCAGACAGCCCACCACAGTACAGGGGATCACGGGCTCCATGGGACCCCTTTCCTCCCTGCCGTTCCGAGATGGCGGTCTGGACCAGGGTGAGTGCGTGGCTTCAGGCTTCAGTCTGTACTGATCTCATCACCTGGACGAGAACTGCCTGCCTTCTAGAAGGGCCCTGAGGGAGTGATTCTATCAGAAAAGCCACTGAGGTCAGCCCAGGCCTTACCACCCCAGCAGCAGGATTAAATCCAGGACTCGTGAACGAATTCTTTGACGGGGCTCACACAGACATCTCTAAGTAGCTTACTTCAAGGAGAGAAGAAAATCATCTCAGATCGATTTGCCTGAACACAGTGATGCTGGAGAACCCCCATTTTTCCACCATTTTTGAGAATGATCCATGCCGCCCCAGATCCCCAGAACTGGCCAAGTTCTTTGCTTCTCATTTTCCTTTCCATCCTTTTCTTGCTACTAGTTTGTCAATGATTCTTCCTACACGTATGTTCTTTGATTGACGATGCTAATATTTTAATGTGTGTACTTAAAGTCTAAAGTAAATCCACACCTTTACCTAAATATATTTAACTGTTGGGACATCACTATGAACGAATCTACCAGCCCATAGATGAATGGATCACGAAAACCACACCCCGCTTCATGATCTAACTCAACCCTACACATCCTGAGAGTGTTTACCCCCCGGTATCAGCTGTAACACAAGCTGTTCATCAAATCATCGATCATAATTAAATGAAACCCCTGTCTGAGTCATGATGGGATGTGGGGCATGGCATCAGATTCTTCTGACTCGCTCATTAAATCCACAGACACCAGGTCCCGGGCACCCAGCACCAGCTGGGTGTGTACCTGCCATGGCCACGTGGCCCACGGCGGAGAGCCGTGGCCCCTGCTGACCACATTGCTCCCGGCGCCCCCCATCCTGCTGCCTGTGGTATTTGTGGCTAAGTCCTCCTTCCTGACCATTTTAACCCGGAGAGCAACACCAGTGCCGCCTTACAAAGACCTTAGAATTCTTTAATACTTATTTGCCATGTTGTCGGCATTTCTGTTCCTTCCCTCTTTCAAATCCCACCCCCACCGCCAGACATTATGTTCATGTTCTGCAGGCCCCGTTTTGTTAGATTTACCCACACGTGTCTTAGCATCTTTGTGATCGTCCGTGCCGCGCCCCACCCCTTCCCTGTGCCTGAGGCGCGTCCTTTAGAATTCCCTCCCGCGAGGATTTGTTTGCTGAAAGCTCTCTAGGTTTTGGTTTAGCTTTAAACATTTCAACAACTTTACTCTTCTCTTGAAAAATGATTTTTCTGTGTTTGCAATTTCTCGATGGACAGTTGTTAGGAGGGAACACACGTCCAGAGCCGCCGTTCGGATATCAGTGGTCAGCCTGGCGGCCCCACCTTCCTGGGCATCTCTCTCTCCTGCTTTTCGATTCTTGGGATTTTTTTCATCCTGAGAACGAAGTCACATCTTCCGGCGACTGGAGGAATTTCTTGGCAAGTCTCTCTTCGAACATTTCTCTGCACCTTCTCCATCCTGTCCATGGTACCCTCCTGGATTCCGATTAGACGTGTGTGTTGGGCTTTCTTACGGTCTCTTCCATGTCACTGAATCTTTATTTTTTACGTTTTTAAATATTTTCTGAAATTTAGTTTGCTTCCGAACTTGCTTTACCCTCGGCAATGGCGCCGTGCTTCTCGCGTGTATTTTAAGGACTCTTTCTTTAAGCACGTGAAACACAGTTATTTTACGTGCTGTGTCTGATGGTTTCAATACCTGAAGTCTTTGTGGGGCCGATTCTGGGACCTGCCATTTCCACCGGTTCTCGCTCGCGGTTCCCTGTTCACCGCGTGGGAGATTTCTGACTGTGCGCTCATGGTTGTCGGGACTTTGTGGGGAGGAAGTCTTCGGAGGCGAGAGAGGTCGGGAAAGGTACATTACCCTTTATGACTCCGTATCCTCCTGGGAAGACTTCCTTCCTGTCTCCGGTGTCTCCGCCCTGCCTTTGGGGAGAGTCATGCTCCCCCTCGGGTGCTAGTCCCTGGGGACCCCCAACAGCCCCGTTAGTTAATTTCCCCTCACTTTGTAAATAGCCCTGTCTTTTCAAAAACCACCACCGAGCACGTGGCCTGTTTCCTGCTGGGACCACGAGGGACACAATCTGGGTAAAGAGCACTTCGTAGATGTCAGTTATTAGAGTTAGCGGGGAGAATGCTTTCTATTTAGGGAAACTTCCGAGTCATTTGGGCAAGAAGGATTATGAGGCTGGGAGACAAAAATGCTTCAAAAAAAGAGAGCTGCCCAGAGCATGGCGCTCCCGTCTCTCTGAGGAAGCCCCGCTCTCCTCCCCCAGGACACCCCTCCCAAGCCCCCTCCATCCCTCCCCCGTGCTCACCTCGGAGGTCCACGAAGTGGAGGAGGTACACAGCCACCATGGCCCCTGGCTCGGCCTTGATGTCAAACAGAGGCCCCGCCACCATCCAGGCCTGCTGTGGGACCATCCCGCTCAGGAGCTGGTCCCAGGCGCAGAATTCAACGTCGATGGTCACGGGCCCTCGTACCACAAAACGGAGACCCGTGTTGGGCCAGTGGTAGGAGCCAGCCACGGGCAAGCGAACTCTGGGGAGGGGAACAGGGAGAGGGGGGACACAGAATTACTCTAAGCCAACTCAGCAGACCCCGTGCGGGGCACCGCGGACCCAGATGTCGCAGTCCGCAGGCCTTGGGTGTGAGTCCCGGCTCCTTCGCCCTCGGCCTGTGGACCCCTGGGCACGTCACTGAGCTTCCCTGATCTGTGTCCTCCTCTGTGAATGGGGAGGCGAGGCGCACCCATCTCGGAGGTGTGAGTGCTAAGGGACCAGGCGCCCGAGGACGGGTTAAGGCGAACCTGGGGGCGGTGATGTTTCTATCATGATGATGATGATGAAACAGGAAAGCGTTCTTGTTTTTTTAAAGGCCTATTTGCCAACAGTTAATCCATCTACACGATAATGCTAATGACACACCCTTGGGGATGAAAACAACTCTGCAGGGGTCTCGAGCCACGTTCCCGAGGTTCCCCAGGCCGTGAGTACGGGTCGTGGGTGGGCAGCGTCTGCAGGGGTGAGGTGGGAGGGAAACCATCTCTCAGCTGAGAGGAGGTGTGTGGTGATGTGCTGTGGACGAGACCACGGTTATGAGCACAGAGACCGGGGCTGCACGTGGTGGGTAGTAAAAAAACAAGGACAAGGGGGCACCTGTGAACATGGACTGGATCGGAGCTGGTCGGAAAGACTTGTAAATGTTACACCTGCCAATGGTTATCGTGCTTATTGAAGAAAAATGCCTTTGAAATGCATCACAAAATATTTAGGGGTAAAATCACCTGATATCCTGGATTTAAAATGCTGTAACAGGGGCGCCTGGGTGGCTCAGTTGTTAAGCCTCTGCCTTTGGCTCAGGTCGTGATCTCGAGGTCCTGGGATCGAGCCCCGTGTCGGGCTCCCTGCTCAGCGGGGAGCCTGCTTCTCCCTCTGCTCCCGCCCACCCTCCAACTCGCGCTCTCTCTCTCAAATAAATAAATAAATAAATATTTGAAATGCTCTAACAACAGAAGATGAGAAAACGGAATAAATTTGGCAAGACGGCTGTTGAACCTGGGTGATGGGTACGTGGAAGTTCCTTGGACCCCGTTTTGGTTCATGGTTGAAAATTTTCACAATACAACCTCCTTTTCCGTAATAGAAGCACTGACTCAGGATCTCAGCCCCGTCCTTTGCCTGTGGGCTTGGAGGGGGAGGGGGCCCCAGGGCCGTGGTGTGGTGCTGCTGGCCGTGGGGAGCAGGAGTGAGGACAGCAGAACCCCCCGCTCACTGGTACAGGCCTCTGTCTTTGTCAACCACCTCGGTGGCCACAGGCCCCAGGGGACCCCAGCAGTCATCGTCGGTCCCCAGAGGCTCCATGTGCAGGTCCCCCAGAGAAGGCAGATGGAAGAGTCCCACCTGGGCTACTTGAGGGGAGCGTCCCTCTGGAAACAGGCAGGGCAGTGGTCAGCTCTAGGTTCTCCTGTCTGGCCTCCACCAGCCCCGACGGAGAGACTGAGGCCGGATTGGGGGGGCGGGGTTGCTTCCCAAGGCTGGGCTGCCTGGCTCATGGCAGGGAGGGTCTGAAGCCTCTGTCCCTGCTCTTGCAGCTGCCTGCTTGCAGCCTGAGGAGGGCCAGCCCTGCTGCCCCGGCCCCTGCCCCTGCCCCTGCTGCCCTGGCCCCTGCCCCAGCCCAGCCACTGCCCAGCCCTGCTGCCCCAGCCACTGCCCCAGCCCAGACCCTGGCCCAACCCCTTCCCCAGCTCAGCCCTGCTGCCCCAGCCCCTGCCCTAACCCAGTCCCTGTCCCAGCCCAGCCCCTGCCCCAGCCCAGCCCCTGCTGCCCCAGCCCCTGCCCCAGCCCAGCCCTGCTGCCCCAGCCCCTGCCCCAGCCTAGCCCCTGCTGCCCCAGCCCCTGCCCCACCCCAGTCCCGGCCCCAGCCCAGCCCATGCCCCAGCCCAGTCCCTACTGCCCCAGCCCCTGCCCCGGCTCAGCCCTGCTGCCCCAGCCCTGCAGCCCCAGCCCCTGCCCCAGCCCAGCCCCTGCTGCCCCAGCCCCTGCCCTGGCTCAGCCCTGCTGCCCCAGCCCCTGTCCCGGCCCAGCCCCTGCTGCCCCAGCCCCTGCTGCCCCAGCACAGCCCAGCCCAGCCCACCCATCCGGAAGTGTTGCTCTTCCCAGCGTGCTGCAGGTGGGCAGCTATAAGAGGAACATGGCTCAAAAGATGGACGGGCAGGGATGGAGAGCTCCCAGGCCCTAGCCCCCCAGGCTGGGACAGAGGGAGGCAGAAGTCCTGCAAGGTTGTAGGAGTGGAAGGCCTTCCATGGGAGAGACTCTCTTAGGGGGGAAGCAGCCCTGTCCCAGCCCAGCGGCAGGGGGATGGAGCCACCCCTCCGTAACGCCCCCAGCCTGGACCCTTCCACTACCCGATTCTTGTCCCTGCTGCTTGAGTGAGGACGTGCTGCTCATCTCTCGCTTGCTCGGGCCCTCGTTAGCCATTGTCACACTTGGCTTCCTAGACACAGAGGCCTTCATTCTCCCCGAGATCTTAGAGGACGCTGGGGCTGTCTCCATGACATCCTCACTTAAATTCCGCTTGTCCCAATTTGAATGTGTGGCCGGAGTCCAGGCTTCTCCGGCAGCCCCTTCCCTGTGAACGACCCCGCCTGCCCAGCCCTCCATACCGGAGCCAGAACTGGGGTGTCATCCTGACCCCCCCACGCCCCCTCTGATCGCTGACGGGTCACTTGTCATTCTCCCCAGAATAGCTTTCTTTGTATTCTCTTCCCCCCTCCACAGCCTCGGCCCCATCCGGGCGCTGGCGTCTGGGCCCCTGCCCGTGGCACCCCTGCACTCTCCCCGCTCCCAGGCCATCCCTCCCCCCCTGCAGAAGCCCCGAGACCTCTGTCCAACGCTGCTGGGATGAAGGCTTTGTTTTGCTCATCTCCCTGCCCACACCCACTGTGCCACTCCCCGGCTCACTCACCCCTAGACTAGGGGTGTTCAAACTCGCCTGGAAGGCTTGTCAGACACATAGGCCCGGACCTGCCCCAGAGATTCTGATTCAGCAGGTCTGGAGCAGGGCCTGAGAATTTGCTGGTCCACGGACCACACTTAGAGTGGCGCTGATCCCGACACCTGGCCTCACTCTGTTCCTTGGAGGAGCGGAGCTCAGAGCCTCTTCCTCTGCCTGAAACCCCCCCTTCTGGGCCCAGCTAACCGCTCCCATCTTTCAGGGCTCAGCCGGGCTCCTTCGAATGGGGTCACACCGGCCCTTGAATGCGCTCACCCCCCCACCCCCGCTCCAGGTACAGTGACACGGGCTGGGGGGTAACTTGCACCAAGCCCCTGTTCCCTGCGGCGTGCCTAACACACAGTGGGTCTGCAGGGGAGGTCCACTCAGCCTCGCGCCCTTCCCTCCCGACTGCAGGCGAGCAAGCGGCTGTGAACGCGGGCACCTCTGCACGGTCAGGGCCAAAGTGCCCCAAACCGGGGGAGCCGGGGGGCCACGGCGGATTCCCCGCGGGGAAGACGGACTCTGCCCAGGACTCGCCCACCAGCCCGCCAGCCCACGCTTGGTCTGGCCCCAAGCCTCTTGCTCTTTGTTTTTGCCTCCCCCTCGCGCTCACAGTTCCTTGCTCCCGTAGCCTCTGTTCCCGCTCATCTCCCTGGTCCTCCACTGGGAGGGTTTGAGCAGCGCGGCGACCCGTTCTATTGGCACTAAACAAACACGCTCACTCCGGCAGCCGTGGCCTCCTGGCTTCTTCCCCAGCTCTCGGCTCTTGGCTCCAGCCTCAAGGACTCAGCTTGGGCCTGGGTCAGCCCCAGGGGGTGCTGGGTCCCCCCACCGCTCCCCTTACCGTCTGCTGCAGATGAGCAGCGGAGGCTTCTCCTCCTACAGGGCCCTCAGCCTCTGGGTCACCTCCTCGCTCAGCTGGGTCTGGTCCAGCCTGTGGCACAAAGGAGGCCTGGTTCTCCCGGGATGTTTGTTGTCCCCTCGGGGTCTCTGTGTTCTCACTTCTGACACAGGTGGGTCCTCGGCGCGTGTGTGAGCCACAGACAAGGTGGAAGGCGAGAAGCCCCGCGCCCTGTACGGGGAGGGCACACCCCGCTCATCGCTGCCTGGGTGGGGGAGGGGGACGGCCTGCTGCGTGGATGGTCGCCCCGTGGGTCGGGTCCCGGGGTCCAGGAGGGGAGGAGGCAGAGACCTTCGCGGCCCGCCAGAGGGCAAGCAGCCAAGATGTGACTCGTGGCCGCTGAGCCGGGGCCGAGTCCCTCCTGCCCGCAAGGACCAGGCCTGGCAGGCCCTCCCACACGTGGGAGACCGTGAGAGCCAGGAACGCTGCGTGGGGAGGGGGCTGAGGGCGGAGGCGCCGGCCCCTGGGTCGTGAAGGGTCAGCTTTGGGAGGGCCCCCGTGCAGCCCGTCCAGCCCCTGGTGTCGGGCCCCTCTCTCCCTAGGTCTGAGAGCCCAGGCTGCGTCGACCCCCTCCGAGGGCCAGGGCCCAGGGCCCAGGGCGTGTGGGTCCTGGAGCCCCCGCCTGCTGAGTGACACAGGGCCCAGCCAGGGGCCTCAGGGAGGGGTGTCGCCAGAAAGAGCCATGGGCTTGTTTTCAGGCTGTGGAGGAAGGAGGCACAGGGAGAGCCCGGTGGGGATGGAGGCTCCCTGGGCTGACTGTGCAGGACCCCAGGGCAGGAGGGAGGGCGGCCCGCTCCGCTCTGCGCTGCGCCCGTCCTGCCCGGGGCCGCTCCCCCTGCCTGCGCCCGCCCAGCTCCTGCCTCTGCCTGGGGTCTCGGCCTCCGGGCCCCTCAGTCCACTCCATCGTCCCCCACCCTAAGACCCAGAAGACCTTGGCTTTCCCTTCACAGCCCCCAGTGCAGCTCAGAAATCCACATTTGTGCATTAGCACGCGACTAACGTCCCCCTCATTCCCACTGGAGTGTGAGCATCAGGAGGGCAGGGCCCATGTCTGCTTGCTCCCTCCTGTGTCCTCGGGGCCTGCCCGGGGCTGGGCCGTGGGAGGCACGCGGCTCCTGACCATCATGCCACCCTGTCCAACCCTCTCCCCAGACCGTCCACGTTCGCACATGCGTTGTATTCCTTGCAGCTTGCAAGGTGGGCACATGGTCCCATCACACAAATGAAGACACTTGAGTCTCTGATGAAGACTTGCCCGAGTCCCGCGGCCTGGGGCAGTGTCGGAGCCGATGAGGAGCCCATGCTGACCTACACTTATGGGGCCCTCCTCCTCCCCCCGTCCACTTCCACGGCCTCACGACCCTGCCACCCCGCGCGTCTCCCCTCCCTGGCCCTGCCGGCCTTACCACAGGAGTGTGAGCTGGCAGGCAGGGTGCCCGAGCCCCCAGCAGAGTAGCCGCGTGCCAACGTCCTGCAGCTCCTTCTGCTGCAGATCGAGCTCCATCAGGCTGGGGCTGGCACCCAGCGAGGAGGCCAGGGCTGGGCAGCCACTGGACGTGAGGCCGCAGCCGACCAGCCTGCAGGGGAGACATGCCTGGGCCCGCCGTCAGCATCCCAAGCACCCTCTCCTGGGGTAACTGCGGGCTGGTTTCCCTTTCTAGGACCTGTGGCCCTTAGGGGGTTCTGGGGTGACAGTAAAGGGACCTGAGGGATTTTTTTTTTTAAAGATTTTATTTATTTATTTGACACACAGAGAGAGCGAGAGCGAGAGAGAGAGAGAGAGCACAAGCAGGGGGAGCAGCAGGCAGAGGGAGAAGCAGGTTTCCTGCATGAGCAGGGAGCCCGATGTGGGGCTCGATCCCAGGACCCTGGGATCATGACCTGAGCTGAAGGCAGCGGTTTAACCAACTGAGCCACCCAGGCGCCCCTGGACCTGAGGGATTTTAATTTTCCTCCTGCATCCAAGGAGGCACGCAGGAGGGAGGCGGCCTCCCCCGCCCGCCGCTGTAACCGCGCATGACTGATCTCCCAGTGTCCCCTTGCACGGCTGGGTCTCGGTGCTAACCACGCCGAGCCTGCCGGGCACTCAGAGCCCACTGATGTGGCAGCCCTGGCAGGTCTCAACACTCGGGGCGTCTATGATGCAGGAGAACAGACCGTGAACTTCTAACATCAGAGAGAAAGCTCAGGGGAGGGAGGGGCTTCTGCGGGAACGGAGGGTCTGTCCCGCTCTGTCCCCCCAGCGCCCAGCTTCTGTCTGCCCCACGGACCAAGGGCAGCTCCCGCCACCCCCCAGCCCACCCCCACAAACCACCTGTGAGCAACTCACCACAGCCAGCGTAGCCTGCAGCCCGGCCGTCTCAGCCCCTTGCAAAGGTGCCTGGCTCCCGTGTCCAGGAGCGAGTTGAAGCTCTGCTCCAGCTCGGTCAGGGTCTGGTTGGAGCTCAGCGCCGAGGCGAGGTCCCTGCAGCCCTCAGCCGTGACGCCACAGCCAGCCAGTCTGTGGGAGCCACACACCCACCGACTCCAGGACACCCGCCAACGTCCGGCCACCTCCCCACGCTCAGCCCCCACGCAGCCCTTCTCCTTCCCTTCCGTCCCAGAGGCGCCCAAGTCTCTTCCCTCATGCCCTCCAGCCTCTGCTCTTTCTGCACCCCCTCTTTCAGCTCACCAGCTCCTTCTCCTTGCCTAAGTAGTATGTTCAATTCAACATCCCCCCCCCAAGCAGAACACCCCGGTATCCTTGATCCTAGCCCGTGCAACCTCTTACGGGAGGGTTCCAGTCATCACTTAGGACTTTGCTGGAGGGTCTTACATGGTCTTGCATCCAAAGGCAATAAAGCTCTGAGCTCTCCCAGTGTTTCCAGTGAGGGGAACGAGCCACGCCACGTCTGCCTGAACCTAGCGCTGATGCTCTTGGGGGACACCCCTTCTTTTTATGATATGACCCCAGCGAGCCGGCACGAGCCAGATCCGGGTTTTCCTGATGGAGAGGTCCGACCGTGTCCTCATCGGGTCCTCACCTCAGCTCTCCCTGTTTCTGGCTGGAAATTGGGGCAAGCCGGCTGACCTCCCTGAGCCTCAGTTCTCATCGTCGGGGAAACAGAAATAATTGTCCCTGCTGTGCTATCTTCATGGGTTCTTTCCTGAAGACCCCGGAAGTCATGGAGATTATGAAGTTCTATACCCACGTGAGGGGTCCGTGGAAGATGGATGTCTCCCCCCCAGGGTGTGAGGCTGGGTTTCTGAGTCCCTTTCAGAAACCTTTGCTGCCAGACTCAGCGGCTTTCCGTGCAATGGTTTTGGGAGGGGATACAGGAAGTCACAACACAAGGCTGGATTTGCCTTCTTACTCCGTTGGCTGCCCTTTCTCTCCACCCCGCCCCCACCGCTTCCTTTTTTTCACTTCCCTTGGAACCTAGCTTAGGTGCCATGATCCGTCACCACCCACATCCTAAAAGTGACCTTCCATCACATCCTTCTGGCTAACCCCGAACTCCGCCATCTTCTTGCTCCCGAACCCAACCCCTACTCCCGCCTGAGTCACAGGGCAGGTGCGGCCGTTAGGAACCTCAACCGGGAGCCTCGGCAATGCCTGGCAGGTGGAAACCCCCCACTTTACAGTGGCCACTTCAGAATGGCATCTTCCCCGAACCTCCACAGCCAACCCTCACACTCTCAGCAGACAACTCGATTCCTACCTCACTAAGAAAAATGGAGCCATCAGATGGAAACCCCGCAGCGTCCCACAGTCCAACCTGTGTGCCTCCGAGCAGACCTCCCTGCGTCCCCTCCAAGGCCAGTCATTTCCCTCCTCCTCCCCTATCAGTTACTGTTCTCCCTCTTGTATCTTTCATCATCGAATTTCAATTTCAGGTCTTTTCCTTCTTAAATGCAAGCAACTAGTCAAACACATACACACACACACACACACACATCTTTAGCTGGTCCCATGTTTCCCTCTGCTTTGACTCTTTCCTCTTACCACCAAAGTCTTGGTATTGTGGTCTCATTTTCCATCTCTGTCTCCCTCTGTTTAGTCCATTCCAGTCTGGATGCTGGCCCCTCACGTGACAGAAGCTGTTTCTGCTAAGATCATCCATGACTCGCCTAATGCTAATCCAACGGTGGACAGTTTCCAGCCCTTGCTTTACTTGGCTTCCTGGCAGCAGTGGCCCCTGCTGGCCACACCGTTCTCGGGACCCTCTGTCCTTTGGGTTCCACGGAGCATACTCTCCATGGTGTTCTTCCCACCTCCCTGGCCGCTCCTTCTCAGTCTTCTTTGTTGGCTTTTCTTTTCCCAGGCAGTAAACATTGGGGGGATTCCCCAACGCTTGACATGCACTCTTACCTTTGCATATGAATTTTAGGATCAGCCTGACCACTTCTGCAAGAAAGGCAGCTATGATTTTGATAGGGATTGAACTGAATCTGTACAGTTTCGGGAGTGCTGCCATCACAATGATATTAATTTTCCCGATCCATGAACATGGGATGTCTTCCCATTATTTAAGGTATCACTTAATTTTTTAATCATGTTTTGTAGTTTTCGGTATATAAGCCTTTCTCTTCTTTTGCTAAATTTACTCCTATTTTATTCTTTTCAATGCTATTTTAAGTGGAGTTATTTTCTTATTTTTACTTTTGGGATTGTTCATTGCTAGTGTGCAGAAGTACAACCGATTTTTATAGGTTGACCTTATATCCTAAAATCTTGGTGAATGTGTTCATTAGTTCTGACGGCTATTTCTGTGGATTCTTTATGACTTTCTATATGTAAGGTGACACTATCTCCAAAGAGAGATTGTTTTATCTCTTCCTTTCTAACCTGGAAGCCTTTTATTTCATTTTCTTGCCAAATTGTCCTGGATAGAAAGTGCACTCAGCTTCCACATCAGACCTCCTGCCCATCCCTGTTTCAGACCAGGACCCAGCTCAGACTCACCGCAGGGCCTCCAAGCGGCAGCCAGGGAACCTCAGGGCCTCGCACAGACTCTGCAGTGCGGAGTGGCTCAGGCAGTTTCCACTCAGGTCCAGGTCCTTCAGGTTTCCAGTGGCCCAGAGAGTGAAAAAGAGAACCCGCCAGCAGGCATCTGTGACTGGGACCCCGCTGAGCCTGAGGGAGGGGGAGACGGACAGAAGAGGTGTGAGCTGTGTGGGCAGGGTCTGGGGTGCACATCCCTCTGCCCCTCAGAGTGCCAAGCCTGGGACTGACAGAGCAGGCTCCCCAAAGGCTCCTCTTCCCACCGCACCCCTGGGCTGCATGCCCATCCCCTGTGTGGTTCCTCATTCTGCAACACTTGCCACACCATCCTGAAGTGTTCATTCTGTGTGTCTCTTTCTGTCCTAGTCTGGGAGTTCCTCGAGGGCAGATGTTTATCATCTTTTTTATCTGCAGTGCCCAGCAGAGGTCCTGGTGCTGAGGAGGAGCTCGGGGAGCCTTCCTCCCTTCAAGGCAGACACACCTATGTTCCTTTGGCACAGACATTCTGGAATCCTGGTGCCCAGAAAGGAAAGGACGGAGGGGAGGAGGGAGCAAACGCTGAGAGAGGTGGTCTGAGGATGACACGGGAGGGGAATGGTATATGTGACCGCGTATACTGCTGTCCGCGTTAGCTTGCTTGGGACACCCTCCCCTTCCAAAGATGGAGAGGGTCCCCGGGAGGAAGTGCCAAAGGGGAGTGTCTCAGGATGGAGGATGATGGGCTTCCTCTGGGGGTGTTAGAGCTGCCTCTCTGCCCCATATAATTTCCCCACTCATTTAATGTTTCCGTTCTCACACAAGGCTTTAGTGATCTCCCCTACGTCCAAGGCTTCAGCAGCTCAAACTCTATCCCAGGTTCCAGACTGGCATTTCCACCTTGACACCCGGTAGCACCTCGACCTAATGTGTCTCAATGTGCCCCCCACAGCTAGTCTTCCCCCCCAGGTCTGCAGAGCCGGGCAGAGACAAGGACCAGAGTTCTAGAGCCAGGCGGCACACACGCACGCACGCACGCATGCACACGAGTCCCAGCTCCCCGAGCCTTGCTCCGTGTCCTCAGCTGCAGAAGGAAGGCAGCAAGAGACGCTCCCACAGAGGGTTTTGTGAGGATTGAGAGATATTACAGAGCTCCCCCAAAACCACCATTTGAAATCTTCATCATTTAAATTTCTTTTATGCTTATTTCGTTTGGTGGAATTCGAACCAATAAATTTTTAACTTTTTGTTTCAGCCGACATTTGCCATCTTTAATCAGAGGGCCTCTAATAAGAAACAGTTAAACATTTATTATTCAAAACACCATTCAGAATGAGGCCCTGCCGGGCTCCCTCATTACGGGGAGGACAGCATCCGTACGAAGATAAAGATCTGGGCGCCTGGCTGGTTCATTCGGCGGAGAGCGTGACTCTTGATCTCAGAATCATGAGTTTGAGCCCCACCTTGGGGGTAGAGATTACTTAAAAAATAAAGATAGAGACTATAAAATAAAATGGACAGCATGGTCCAGCTCTGCCAAAGAAAGGTGTGTAGCGGAAAGACCGCAGGGTAGACCCTGATTCTTCATGATGGTCATCTCTGAGTGACAGGATGCTGGTCCATGTTGATTTTCATCGGCTTGCTTATCAACATATCCTAATGTTCTGCAGTCAACACGAACTTTATTGTGAAAAGAAAAAAATGTAAAAACATCAGAAAATAAAAGCCCCGAGTCCAACATTTCTTCCTCTGAGACCCTTTCTTTTTCTGCTCTACTCATGTGCTCACTCCCTTCCTCAGGCTCTGGCCGAGCCCTGTCCGTGCCTCTGCCCCCATGGGCACCACTCTCTATTCTAATTATGGGATGGGCATCTGTCTTCTCCCTCGGATTCTGAGTTTCTCGAGGGCAGAGATAGTGTTTTATTAGTCTGTGATCTCATAGCATAGAACCTAGCATAAATCAGTTCTTAATGAGTATTTATGGAATGAATCATCCAGGTACTAAGTGGCCAGTACTGCAACCGCGCTGTGGGGGGGACCCGGATAGGGAAGCTCACAGGGTTGAAGAATTGGAGGACGGTTAGAGCAAGCTGCTCCATCAGCTCAAACGGGGTAGGTGTCAGGCTGAACAAGAGCGCATCAAGGGCACTAGTCCCTGGTGCCAGGCTGAGGGGGAGTGGCTCCAGTACCCGGCATGGTGGGACCACGGAGGGGCTGGCCATGGAGGGGCGGGGCGGGGGGTGTGGGGTACTCACAGAGCCACGCTGGGGGATCTCCACGGGTGTCTGCACCGTCCGTGTGCATTCAACTGAAGCTTCTTCACGTTGCAGAATTTAATGCAGAACGTGGACACCAGGAGCTCCAGGCCAGTGTGGACACACATGCTCGCCCCATGGAAATGGGCCATCATGTGTGCCAGGAAATCCTTGTCCTGAATCTTGTACAGGCAGTGGAACATGGGCAGAGAGCATTGCTGTAGAACGGGGAGCTGGCTGCAGACCTCCGCCTCCACCCAGCGCAACAGTCCCTGTTTCCTCTCCCCAGGCACCTGGCATTGGAAGACCGCCTCCAGCTGTCGCTCCCCCTGCTCACTCAGAAGGCCCAACACGAAATGCGTGGTGGTGCCCTAAACGGGTTGAGACTCCCATACGCCTTTAGCAGGTTTTCCGGCTCTCTGGTGCTGTTGGGAGGGTGGATTTTCCCGTCCTCGCCCCCCGGCATGCAGGACACTGCTGCAAAGAACTCTTGGAGGTACCGGTGAGCAAAGTGGTAGCTCAGGGAGGAGGGATGCTTTCGAAGAGTGCCCATGTTTAAGAGAGTGGAGACGGTGGCCTCCTCCAACTCATGCTTCCTGAGATCCTCCCAACTGAGCAGGCTCCTTCCCTGCCAGATGCCCTCGGCAGCCGGAGCACAGAGGCCCCTCAGCTGAGTCCCATGGGGCTGGGCTGGCAGAGCCTGGGAAAGGTAGTGCAGACAGAGGGCCATGGCAGTCTGGGGGGGGGGCAGCGAGAGCTCGTCTCCCCGCTCCATCTGCTTCTTCACGCAAGTGCAGACCAGCCAGGACACCAAGGGCACGAGACACATGGTCAGCAGTGCTCGGTTTAACTCAACCGAGCTAAAGGCTCTGACTGCTTGGCTTTCACTCCTGAAATATTTGTAGAAATACTCCTTCTGGCCGGACTCGGAGAACCCCAGGACCTCCATCCACCATGGCCGCTCCACAGAGAGAAGGAACTTTTGCAATGCCGTGGTCCGCGCCGTGATCAGCAGAGATGCCTCGGGGAGTATGGTTTTCCTGAGCAACCTGCCCAGCAGAGCATGTGTACCGGCTTCTGCTCCCTCAAGACCCAGGTCGGCTCATCCAGGTCATCGAGGATGAGGAGCAGTTGTCCCAGCTGAGACAGGATCTGTTCAGTGGGAACCACGGGGGCAGCCCGGCCCTTTGTGATGAGCTCTGTGAGACTCATCGTCTCGGACTGGGCCAGCTCCCTGCAGCTGAAGTAGAGGACATGCTCGAAGCGGTCCCTGTGGAGCCGGCCTTCCTCCCAGGCCCTCCTCACCTGCCTGGCCACCATTGACTTCCCGATGCCAGCAACCCCATGCAGTATGACAGTTCGAGGTTTTTCCTGGGCACCCAGGCCTGGGCCAAACAAGTCTTTGACCTCAATCAAATGTCCTTGCTCCTCCACCACCCCTTGGTGCCAGTCCCCCTTGGTTAGGGACTCCTGGCGTCTGGGGTGAGGTTGATTGAGAAGCAGCAGTTGTATGACTTCTCAGTGCAAATCCTCAGCGCCGCACGACTCTGTGGGGCAGGGCCTCTTCGTCCTCAGGTGTGGTGCCTTCCTACGTAAGGGAGAGGAAAGATGGGACAGAGAGGTGCAGCCTAGATCTGCTCCCATGTGCTCATTCACCCGTTCACCCGGCAGCTGTTTGAGGTGCCCACTCCAAGCCGCGTGCTGTGCGTGCTGCCGACGCCCTGGCACGCTCTTGCCAGGGCCGTGGGAGGGGCCTGGGCTGCGGGGAGAAAGTCCCAGCTCGCCTTCACTTGACCAAATCGTGCTCCCTGGGGACTTCCCTTCATGCTGCAAATAGTCACCAAGGGCTTACTCTGCTCCAGGCTGAGGGCAAAGAGCTAATGAAACATACAGCACAACTCTGCTCTCATTAAGCCCGTGGCCTGAGCCATTTGCCCCACTGGGCCTCAGTTTTCTCGCCTGTAAACTGGGGATCCCGACACGTCCTTGTAGGAGGTCATAGGCGAGCGAAGGGCATAAGGTTGACCTCAGTGCCCGCCACGGAAGCACGTCCCATCTGCCCACACCTGTGGTTGTCGGTCTGAGGGCTGTCTCCAGGAGGAGGCCTCGACCGACCAACGGCAGAGGGCGGACCCCTGCCCCCAGGGGAGACAACTCTGCGGTGCGTTCTACACCATCTCTCATAGATTCTAGAAACATCAAATCTCAGTTTCTCACTAGGTGAGTTACGCTGTCCCTGTCTCACTTCTCTCTCCTGCTGTTGCCTCCGGGGAGTCACTTCCCCAGTAAACCACCCGCACCCACATCCTGTCTCAGGGGCTGCCTCTGGGGAGCCCACCTGAGACAGACAGGGAGGTGCATTGTGAACTGTGAGGGGCTGAGTACCTCTCAAAGACTGTCCCCCAGGAAGGGACCTTGGGCTCCTATCTTCGATTCCACATGGAATCATTGTTAAAACCTCATCCCTTCTTCCATTCAGAACATTCTGAGCGCTTCTCACTTCTCTCCTTCGGCAGATTTTAGAGGTGGTACAAGTAATTCCTTTGGGTCCCGAGGCTCAGCTCACCTTGGAAAACCTGCAGGGCCTCCAGAGTTGAGAGTTACCTTTCCTACCTTTGTGGGCATGCGAGGAAGAATCTGGGGGAGTTGGGGCATTGTGGGGTCAATATATGCCTTTAGCGTTGGTGAGTCTAGGGTGATAGAGGGCCACCCCCACCTCTGAAGTCATGACCTATAGATCTGCTTTTATTGTCACTTGTGGGAACGTTTCTGGCAATGTGACAATCTTCTAGGAGCTCAGGATGGCCACTCTGGGTCATGGGTATGGGCTGCCCCGCTCAGGTCCCTGTGTCTGCCTGAGGTACCAACAGAGGGCTTAGTTCTTCTTGGAGCCACGTTCTCCAGAACATCCTGGTTTTCTTGGATCTGTAAAGACTTAAATCCTCTTTATTCAGTTATACTCTACTCTTTTCATGAATGCAAATAGCTTCAGAGGGCTCAAGAGTTCAATTAAGAACCTACAGCAACACAATGCAGAAAAAAAGAAGCACATAAAAAGGATTGCTGGGTAGATCAGCCTAGCATAGACATCTAGGGAAGGCTAGGGACAATGAAGAAGGGGGAGGGTTACAAGTATCAGCCATGCAAGAGGGGCCATTGTGGTCCCCAGCGGTCTGCTCTAGGGAGGAACCAGCAGTCTTTGCTGCTGAAGACTTCAGTGGCCCTACTGTGGACTCCCTGCAGTTTTCACAGAAGAGGACCCCATAATGGTTGTTGGTGTGGACTCCCAACGGCCTGCTACACATTGGACACCAGCAGCTTCTGCCACTGAGGTAACCAACAGCCATCCCCACCGTGGACTCCTCAGTGGGGAGACGATGCTGTGCCCCCTTCCTGAAAGTGTTGCATTGCCCTGGGACCGAGGTTGCCAGGTTCCCCAACTCTGTACATGCCCTGGACCCTAGAGCTCTGGATGCTGTGTGCATCCATGCTTTAGACCCCAACTCTGTGGTTACTCTGTGCACCTGTGCATCAGATACCAGTGCATCAGATACACCAACCCGACGGTGCCTGCAAGCTGGAACCAGTGCCAAGAGGGATCCCCTTGGCCACGATATCCCCAGGGGCAGAATAAGAGATCAGGAGGTCCCCAGCAGCCTTGGCTATTGAGAACGACTTCCACCTTCACTGACACTGACCTCAGATGATGGAGCTATATGGGGATTGCCAGAGCCTTTCCTGGAACCAGAACTGTGACCCCCACCCAACCTGTGCCCTCACATCCACCCACAGATGAAGGCCTTTCCCCACCAAAACCAGTCCATAAAGTCTGGAAGACGTGAATGCCCCATCCAATGCACAGACATGAACACAAAGCTGCAAGTGAGATGATAAGGAAACATGACACCCCAGGGGAACACCATACTTTTTCAGCAATCAACCACCCCAAAATGGAGATCTGTGAATTGCGAGACAAAGAATTCAAAATAATTCTTTCAAGGAAGCTCAGAAAGCTACATGAAAACACAGGTAGGTAACTCAATGAAACCAGGAAAACAGTACACGAACAAAACAAGAAGTTCAACAGAGAGACAAAAATCATAAAAAAGAAACAAGTAGAGATTCTGGAGCTGAAGAATACAATGAGTGAAATGAAAAACATGCAACGGAGAGCATCAACAACACACGTGATCAAGCAGAAGAAAGAACCTGTAAACTCTGAGGCAGGTCATTTGTAATCATCCAGTCAGACGAGAAAAAAGAAAAATGCATAAAAAAGAGTGAAGAAAGCCTATGTGAATTATGGGACACCATCAAACAAAGTAATATTTGCATTATGGGAGGCCCAGAAGGAGAAGACAAAGAGAAAGGGACAGAAAGCTTATTAAAGAAATAATGGCTAAAGAGTTCCCACAGCCGGGGAAAAGATATGGACATCCAGGTACATGAAACTCATAGATCTCCATACAGATTAAACCCAGAGAGGATTTCACTTATATATATTATAATAAACCTGTAAAATAAAACAACCCAAAGAGAGAGAATTTTGAAAGCAGGAAGAAAAAAAAAAAAAGACTCATCATATTCCCGGGATCTCCCATAAGGCTGTCAGCAGATCTCCCAGCAGTGAAACACTGCATGACAGAGTGGGCTGACATATTTATTCAAAGTGCTGAAAGTCAACAAGACAGAAGAGAGACAAATCAAGGAGTCGATCCCATTTATAATTGCACCCAAAACCATAAGATACCTAGGAATAAATTTAACCAAAGAGGCAAAGGATCTGTACTCAGAAAACTATAAAATACTCATGAAAGAAATTGAAGAAGACACAAAGAAATGGAAAAACGTTCCATGCTCATGGATTGGAAGAACAAATATTGTGAAGATGTCAATGCTACCTAGAGCAATCTACACATTCAGTGCAATCCCCATCAAAATACCATCCTCTTTTTTCAAAGAAATGGAACAAATAATCCTAAAATTTGTATGGAACCAGAAGAGACCCTGAATAGCCAGAGGAATATTGAAAAAGAAAAGCAAAGCTGGCGGCATCACAATTCCGGACTTCCAGCTCTATTACAAAGCTGTCATCATCAAGACAGTATGGTACTGGCACAAAAACAGACACATAGATCAATGGAACAGAATAGAGAGCCCAGAAATGGACCCTCAACTCTATGGTCAACTCATCTTTGACAAAGCAGGAAAGAATGTCCAATGGAAAAAAGACAGTCTCTTCAACAAATGGTGTTGGGAAAATTGGACAGCCACATGCAGAAGGATGAAACTGGACCATTTCCTTACACCACACACAAAAATAGACTCCAAATGGTTGAAAGACCTAAACGTGAGACAGGAGTCCATCAAAATCCTAAAGGAGAACACAGGTAGCAACCTCTTCGACCTCAGCCGCTGCAACTTCTTCCTAGAAACATCGCCAAAGGCAAGGGAAGCAAGGGCAAAAATGAACTATTGGGATTTCATCAAGATAAAAAGCTTTTGCACAGCAAAAGAAACAGTCCACAAAACCAAAAGACAACCGACAGAATGGGAGAAGATATTTGCAAATGACATATCAGATAAAGGGCTAGTATCCAAAATCTATAAAGAACTTATCAAACTCAACACCCAAAGAACAAATAATCCAATCAAGAAATGGGCAGAAGACATGAACAGACATTTTTTCCAAAGAAGACATCCAAATGGCCAACAGACACATGAAAAAGTGCTCAACATCGCTTGGCATCAGGGAAATCCAAATCAAAACCTCAATGAGATACCACCTCACACCAGTCAGAATGGCGAAAATTAACAAGTCAGGAAATGACAGATGTTGGCGGGGATGCGGAGAAAGGGGAACCCTCCTACACTGTTGGTGGGAATGCAAGCTGGTGCAGCCACTCTGGAAAACAGTATGGAGGTTCCTCAAACAGTTGAAAATAGAGCTACCATATGATCCAGCAATTGCACTACTGGGTATTTATCACAAAGATACAAATGTAGGGATCCGAAGGGGTACGTGCACCCCAATGTTTATAGCAGCAATGTCCACAATAGCCAAACTGTGGAAAGAGCCAAGATGTCCATCGACAGATGAATGGATAAAGAAGATGTGGTATATATACACAATGGAATATTATGCAGCCATCAAAAGGAATGAGATCTTGCCATTTGCAACGATGTGGATGGAACTGGAGGGTGTTATGCTGAGTGAAATAAGTCAATCAGAGAAAGACATGTATCATATGACCTCACTGATATGAGGAATTCTTAATCTCAGGAAACAAACTGAGGGTTGCTGGAGTGGTGGGGGGTGGGAGGGAGGGGGTGGCTGGGTGATAGACATCGGGGAGGGTATGTGCTATGGTGAGCACTGTGAATTGTGCAAGACTGTTGAATCACAGATCTGTACTTCTGAAACAAATAATGCAATATATGTTAAGAAAAAAAAAGAAGAAGAAGATAGCAGGAGGGGAAGAATGAAGGGGAGTAAGTCGGAGGGGGAGACGAA